GTTAGTTACATGTTGATAAATAGCCTGTGAATAATACATGTTGAATATTAGTGTGTGAATAGCTACAAGATGATTGTTAGCCCATCAATCAATAGAAGATAACATAATGCTTTGATAACAAACATTTTATTACACTAACAAATATTTTTTAGAAGTAGAATCATGTGGTGTGATCTATTCACAACAGCGGGAGGTAACTGGGGTATTACTATCTACATACATGTATTTACACGAATAGTCTCCCATTTCTGTCAGCAATTTCCACATTTTTTTTTGTTTCTCAAGTATCAAATAATCGCATAGTTTCATGTCATGTCTTCAAACACCTCTAACATATAGCACACATGTACCACACATGTACCACACATGTACCACACATGTACCACACATCTACCACACATCTCCCACACATCTACCACACATCTACCACACATCTCCCACACATCTACCACACATGTACCACACATCTACCACACATCTACCACACATCTACCACACATCTACCACACATCTACCACACATCTACCACACATCTCCCACACATCTACCACACATCTACCACACATCTACCACACATCTACCACACATCTACCACACATCTACCACACATCTACCACACATCTACCCCACATCTCCCACACATCTACCACACATCTACCACACATCTACCACACATCTACCACATCTACCACACATCTACCACACATCTACCACACATCTACCACACATCTACCACACATCTACCACACATCTACCACACATCTACCACACATCTACCACACATCTACCACACATCTACCACACATGTACCACACATCTACCACACATCTACCACACATCTACCACACATCTACCACACACATCTCCCACACATCTACCACACATCTACCACACATCTACCACACATCTACCACACATCTACCACACATCTACCACACATCTACCACACATCTACCACACATCTACCACACATCTACCACACATCTACCACACATCTACCACACATCTACCACACATCTACCACACATCTACCCCACATCTCCCACACATCTACCACACATCTACCACACATCTACCACACATCTACCACACATCTACCACATCTACCACACATCTACCACACTCTACTACACATCTACCACACATCTACCACACATCTACCACACATCTACCACACATCTACCACACATGTACCACACATCTACCACACATCTACCACACATCTACCACACATCTACCACACACATCTCCCACACATCTACCACACATCTACCACACATCTACCACACATCTACCACACATCTACCACACATCTACCACACATCTACCACACATCTACCCCACATCTCCCACACATCTACCACACATCTACCACACATCTACCACACATCTACCACATCTACCACATATCTACCACACATCTACCACACATCTACCACACATCTACCACACATCTACCACACATCTACCACACATCTACCACACATGTACCACACATGTACCACACATCTACAACACATCTACCACACATCTACCACACACATCTCCCACACATCTACCACACATCTACCACACATCTACCACACATCTACCACACATCTACCCCACATCTACCACACATCTACCACACATCTACCACACATCTACCACACATCTACCACATCTACCACACATCTACCACACATGTACCACACATCTACCACACATCTACCACACATCTACCACACATCTACCACACATCTACCACACATCTACCACACATCTACCACACATCTACCACACATCTACCACATCTACCACACATCTACCACACATCTACCACATCCACCACACATCTACCACACATCTACCACACATCTACCACACATCTACCACACATCTACCACACACATCTACCACACACATCTACCACACATCTACCACACCACTGACACATCTACCACACATCTCCCACACATCTACCACACATCTACCACACATCTACCACACATCTACCACACATCTACCACATCTACCACACATCTACCACACATCTACCACATCCACCACACATCTACCACACATCTACCACACATCTACCACACATCTACCACACATCTACCACACATGTACCACACATCTACCACACATCTACCACACATCTACCACACATCTACCACACATCTACCACACATCTACCACACATCTACCACACATCTACCACACATCTACCACACATCTACCACACATCTACCACACATCTACCACACATCTACCACACATCTACCACACATCTACCACACATCTACCACACATCTACCACACATCTACCACACATCTACCACACATCTACCACACATCTACCACACATCTACCACACATCTACCACACATCTACCACACATCTACCACACATCTACCACACATCTACCATACCACTGCCACATCTACCACACATCTACCACACATCTACCACACATCTGTCACACATCTACCACACATCTACCACACATCTACCACACATCTACCACACATCTACCACACATCTACCATACCACTGCCACATCTACCACACATCTACCACACATCTACCACACATCTGTCACACATCTACCACACATCTACCACACATCTACCACACATCTACCACACATCTACCACACATCTACCACACATCTACCACACATCTACCACACATCTACCACACATCTACCACACATCTACCACACATCTACCACACATCTACCACACATCTACCACACATCTACCACACATCTACCACACATCTACCACACATCTACCACACATCTCCCACACATCTACCACACATCTACCACACATCTACCACACATGTACCACACATCTACCACACATCTACCACACATCTACCACATCTACCACACATCTCCCACACATCTACCACACATCTACCACACATCTACCACACATCTACCACACATCTACCACACATCTACCACACATCTACCACACATCTACCACACATCTACCACACATCTACCACACATCTACCACACATCTACCACACATGTACCACACATGTACCACACATCTACCACACATCTACCACACATCTACCACATCTCTGCCACACATCTACCACACATCTCCCACACATCTCCCACACATCTACCACACATCTACCAAACATGTACCACACATCTACCACACATCTACCACACATCTACCACACATCTACCACACATCTACCACACATCTACCACATCTCTGCCACACATCTACCACACCACTGCCACATATGACTTCATTGTTTTAAGCGTGTTAAACCTGCGTGTATCCATTGAAGTAAACGAAAACTGATATATCTTATTGACTCCATATTTTCCCTATAGCAGTTATGTAAAACATGATCCCATCGAGGTGTCCTAATTTTAATTATTTTAAGCTTTTATTTAGTTCACAATGGCTGTTCTTTTTTTTTTGACTTGATGGCAATTCTTGTAACTTAGTTTGGAACCTTTTCCAATTTAAACTTACCAGAAACTTGTATTTCCGATAAAGAATATCTTGAATTTCTATTCGATTAGTAATTAAAATATTACTCAATACAAAAAAAGTGGGGGGGGGGGGGGGGGTTATGAGAGTCGGCCGAAGACTAGTGAGGTGAGATAATTTATCGACAGCAAGAAATGTAATCGAGCAGCAGGAGGTAAAAATAGACCAACCTATACAGTGCAGCTAGGTCGCAACCCGTTGAGTGATGTCTTGTTATTTCTCTCGATAAGGAATTTCTTTCAATACCTAAACAAAACTGGTTCAACTACCACCTCTCTAGTTCTGTCAACTCGACCCCTGACCTCAGTCATCTCGACCCCTGACCTCAGACAACACAACCCCTGACCAATCACCAATCACCTTAACACATAACTATCCTGAAGTAGGCTTGACATCCATTTTTTGTGTCTGGAATTCCAAACAAGTTTTCAGCCAACCTTGAAACCCAGGGGAGGTAACGGCTTCTCAACCATTTATTGCTTGGGTGGTTTCGAGATGGCAGTACACACACGCGCGCACACAAACACACTCTCTCATTCTCTCTCATACCGACCCACCCCCATCCCGCATACCAGCATCCACCGCACTAATTTCATGATTGTACTTCAAGGCCAACCCCAACCCCAACCCAAAAGGCCACCCCAACCCACAAGGCCAACCCCAACCCCAACCCACAAGGCCAACCCCAACCCCAACCCACAAGGCCTACCCCAACCCACAAGGCCAACCCCAACCCCAACCCACAAGGCCAACCCCAACCCCAACCCACAAGGCCAACCCCAACCCCAACCCACAAGGCCACCCCAACTCCAACCCACAAGGCCAACCCCAACCCCAACCCACAAGGCCAACCCCAACCCCAACCCCAACCCAAAAGGCCACCCCAACCCACAAGGCCAACCCCAACCCCAACCCACAAGGCCAACCCCAACCCCAACCCACAAGGCCACCCCAACTCCAACCCACAAGGCCAACCCCAACCCCAACCCACAAGGCCAACCCCAACCCCAACCCACAAGGCCACCCCAACTCCAACCCACAAGGCCAACCCCAACCCCAACCCCAACCCACAAGGCCAACCCCAACCCCAACCCCAACCCAAAAGGCCACCCCAACCCACAAGGCCAACCCCAACCCCAACCCACAAGGCCAACCCCAACCCCAACCCACAAGGCCACGCCCACCCCAACCCACAAGGCCACCCCAACTCCAACCCACAAGGCCAACCCCAACCCCAACCCCAACCCACAAGGCCAACCCCAACCCCAACCCCAACCCACAAGGCCAACCCCAACCCACAAGGCCAACCCCAACCCACCAGGCCACCCCAACCCCAACCCACAAGGCCAACCCCAACCCCAACCCATAAGGCCACGCCCACCCCACCCGTGACCGCCATGAATGTAAGAAGGTCGGTTCCCATCGTCATGAATGGATGCTGTTATTATCCTCCATCCCCGTCAAACCGGTTCTCCTTAGGTCATCCATGTCTGAGATTTAGGGAACATTCCAGAATTCTCTTGTCAGTTCCCCAACATCAGGCTTACCTAGAGTCAGTCATTTAACGTAAGTAAACAACAACTTTAACCATCTTGTGATAAATAAGTTTAGGTTTGTAACTGGCCTACATTAATCTCATATATTCTTATATAAAACAACAGGGGATGGCAACTCGGGATATAGACATGATTTTTAATCCATTTTTAATTACTTAAACTTTTAAAAATAGAATAGAATCTCGTAGAAAAAAATTGCACAACAAGTGAACGCAAAAACAAAATGTGTATAATAGTGCGGAATATTATTAGTACTTTATAAATTTACATGCGTTTTTTGAGAAATCGGAAATAGCGAAAATTGCAAATTCCGGTCAACGAAAGTTACTCAAAATTTGATAGAAGGCAGAGAATTAGATCTTATACTTACATGTGAAATTTCATTTGTATATCTGAAATAGTACTCAGGTTATAGGCTTTTGAAAAATTGAAAGTAGAAAAATTTTCCTTTTCCGGTTATCGGAAATCGTTCAAAAGCTTATACGGATCTACGATTTTGATATAATACTTATATATGAAATTTCATCAACCTAGCTTTAACTTTACTCAAGTTATCGTGTTTACACGCACACACACACACACACACACACACACACACACACACACACACACACACACACACACACACACACACACACACACACACACACACACACACACACACACACACACACACACACACACACACACACAGACATACGGACAAGATTGCAAAACTATGTTTTTCCGACTCAGGGAGGTGTAAAACGTCGAGATTTGCAAAAATCTAGATTTTTCCTTTCTCGTATATACAAAGTATAGAGAAAGTCTTGTAATCGTGCAAAATAATAAATAAACCGGGAGTGATCTCCCCTTAGCTTTCTCGAATATTCTTATATAAGACAACAGGGAATGGGAACTCGGGATATAGTTATGATTTTTAATCCATTTTAAATACTTAAACTTTTTAAAATAGAATAGAATCTCATAGAAAAAAGAATTGCGCACCAAGCGAACGCCGAATAAAGATGTGCATAATAGTGCGGAATATTATTAGTACTTTATAAATTCATATGCGTTTTTTGAGAAATTGGAACGAGTGAAAATTACTCAAAATTTAATAGAAGGCAGAAAATTAGATCTTATACTCACGTGTGAAATTTCATTTATCTTTTTCATTTATCTATCTGAAATAGTACTCAAGTTATAGGCTTTTAAAAAATTCAAAGTAAAAAAGTACCACTTCCGGTTATCGGAAATCGCTCAAAAGTTGATACGGATCTACGATTTTGATAAAATACTTATATATGAAATTTCATCAACCTAGCTTTAACGGTACTCAAGTTATCGTGTTTACACACACACAGACACACAGACATACGGACAAGATTGCAAAATTATGTTTTTCCGTATCAGTGAGGTGTAAAACGTTATTTGGCGTTAACCTGGTGTGCAATTCTTTTTCCACGAGATTGTATTCTATTTTTAAAAGTTTAAGTAGGCCTATTTAAAATGGATAAAAATCATGTCTATATCCTAAATTGCCATTCCCTGTTGCAAGAATATTCGAGAAAGTTTAGGGGAGATCACTCCCGGTTTACTTTTTTCACTTTACAAGACTTTATACTTCGTATATACGAGAAAGTAATAACCATCTGGTACATTTCCTTGATGAGTTCCAGCACATGTCTAAGAGTGCCGCGCCATTTAAACGACATGGATCAAAGATTCGATCAAAGATTTGAACAAAGATATTAATGAACCAGATTGGTCCATCAACAGATCACTGTATTGGTCCGATTCTCTCCACAGGTACACAAACAACCAACCAGGTGAACATGCACAAGACAACCTTCCTGTTCGTTGTGTGTGCGGCTGTTGGTGAGTAGTTGGTTTTAGATGGTTGTAGATGGTTGCAGATGGTTGTAGATGGTTGTAGATGGTTGTAGATGGTTTTAGATGGTTGAAGATGGTTGTAGATGGTTTTAGATGGTTGAAGATGGTTGTAGATGGTTGTAGATGGTTTTAGATGGTTGAAGATGGTTGTAGATGGTTGTAGATGTTTGTTGATGGTTTTAGATGGTTGTAAATGGTTTATATATATATATATATATATATATATATATATATATATATATATATATATATATATATATATATATATATATATATATATATATATATATATATATATATATTCCTATATATACCATAAATGAAACGAAAATCTTAAAAATTTAGCCACCATCAGTCAAGTGACGTCAACTTGCCCAAGTACCTCAACCTGTAGTATGCCGGATTTAACCTTGACAAATTCTGAGTATTGCCCGTACGTAAAGTTGTCTATGTTGTCTAATCAATGTAGTCTATGTAGTTTGTCGTCTATTTTGTCTATGTAGTCTAGTCAATGTCTAGTCAAGTGACCACTACACTGATATCAGTGACCACCACACTGACACAAGTGACCACCACACTGACACAAGTGACCACCACACTGACACAAGCGACCACCACACTGACACAAGTGACCACCACACTGACACAAGTGACCACCACACTGACACAAGCGACCACCACACTGACACAAGCGACCACCACACTGACACAAGTGACCACCACACTGACACAAGTGACCACCACACTGACACAAGCGACCACCACACTGACACAAGCGACCACCACACTGACACAAGTGACCACCACACTGACACAAGTGACCACCACACTGACACAAGTGACCACCACACAAGTGACCACCACACTGACACAAGTGACCACCACACTGACACAAGTGACCACCACACTGAGACAAGTGACCACCACACTGACACAAGTGACCATCACACTGACACAAGTGACCACCACACAAGTGACCACCACAATGACACAAGTGACCACCACAATGACACAAGTGACCACCACACTGACACAAGCGACCACCACACTGACACAAGTGACCACCACACTGACACAAGTGACCACCACACTGACACAAGCGACCACCACACTGACACAAGTGACCACCACACTGACACAAGTGACCACCACACTGACACAAGTGACCACCACACAAGTGACCACCACACTGACACAAGCGACCACCACACTGACACAAGTGACCACCACACTGACACAAGTGACCATCCGCCTACTTGACCTGCCTGTAGAACATCATCTCTAACGCAGAATGTGGAACGTCGACTACCAGTCAAGCTAATTTCCTCATCACAACAATGAAAGTCGTAATGGTGCCTAAGGCTTGCTCGGGTAATTAAACCTTTATCAACATCTAATTAAACCTTTATCAACATCTAATTAAACCTTTATCAACATCTAATTAAACCTTTATCAACATCTAATTACACATTTATCAACATCTGATTAAACCTTTATCAACATCTAATTACACATTTATCAACATCTAATTAAACCTTTATCAACATCTAATTACACCTTTATCAACATCTGATGAAACCATCACGACAGCAGACAGAAACATCACGACGACAAAATGTGCTGAGCTCATCACACATCTCCGTGTGACAACCCTCGACTGACCAACCAACCAACTGTATCATCCCCATGACAACCCATGTGACAACCCTCGACTGACAAACCAACCAACCGTATCATTCCCATGACAACCCATGTGCCAACCCTCGAATGACCAACCAACCAACCGTATCATCCCCATGACAACCCATGTGACAACCCTCGACTGACCAACCAACCAACCGTATCATCCCCATGACAACCTATGTCACAACCCTCGACTGACCAACCAACCAACCGTATCATCCCCATGACAACGCATGTGACAACCCTCGACTGACCAAACAACCAACAGTATCTTCCCCATGACAACCCATGTGACAACCCTCGACTGACCAAACATCCAACCGTATCATCCCCATGACAACCCATGTGACAACCCTCGACTGACCAAACAACCAACCGTATCATCCCCATGACAACCCATGTGACAACCCTCGACTGACCAAACAACCAACCGTATCATCCCCATGACAACCCATGTGACAACCTATGTCACAACCCTCGACTGACCAAACAACCAACCGTATCATCCCCATGACAACCCATGTGACAACCCTCGACTGACCAAACAACCAACCGTATCATCCCCATGACAACCCATGTGACAACCCATGTGACAACCCTCGACTGACCAAACAACCAACCGTATCATCCCCATGACAACGCATGTGACAACCCTCGACTGACCAAACAACCAACAGTATCTTCCCCATGACAACCCATGTGACAACCCTCGACTGACCAAACATCCAACCGTATCATCCCCATGACAACCCATGTGACAACCCTCGACTGACCAAACAACCAACCGTATCATCCCCATGACAACCCATGTGACAACCCATGTGACAACCCTCGACTGACCAAACAACCAACCGTATCATCCCCATGACAACGCATGTGACAACCCTCGACTGACCAAACATCCAACCGTATCATCCCCATGACAACCCATGTGACAACCCTCGACTGACCAAACAACCAACCGTATCATCCCCATGACAACCCATGTGACAACCCTCGACTGACCAAACAACCAACCGTATCATCCCCATGACAACCCATGTGACAACCTATGTCACAACCCTCGACTGACCAAACAACCAACCGTATCATCCCCATGACAACCCATGTGACAACCCTCGACTGACCAAACAACCAACCGTATCATCCCCATGACAACCCATGTGACAACCCATGTGACAACCCTCGACTGACCAAACAACCAACCGTATCATCCCCATGACAACGCATGTGACAACCCTCGACTGACCAAACAACCAACAGTATCTTCCCCATGACAACCCATGTGACAACCCTCGACTGACCAAACATCCAACCGTATCATCCCCATGACAACCCATGTGACAACCCTCGACTGACCAAACAACCAACCGTATCATCCCCATGACAACCCATGTGACAACCCATGTGACAACCCTCGACTGACCAAACAACCAACCGTATCATCCCCATGACAACGCATGTGACAACCCTCGACTGACCAAACAACCAACAGTATCTTCCCCATGACAACCCATGTGACAACCCTCGACTGACCAAACATCCAACCGTATCATCCCCATGACAACCCATGTGACAACCCTCGACTGACCAAACAACCAACCGTATCATCCCCATGACAACCCATGTGACAACCTATGTCACAACCCTCGACTGACCAAACAACCAACCGTATCATCCCCATGACAACCCATGTGACAACCCTCGACTGACCAAACAACCAACCGTATCATCCCCATGACAACCCATGTGACAACCCATGTGACAACCCTCGACTGACCAAACAACCAACCGTATCATCCCCATGACAACCCATGTGACAACCCTCGACTGACCAACCAACCAACCGTATCATCCCCAGGTGCTGTTGCTGTGTTGCCCTCACTCGTGCTCTGTGTCTGGCTCAGTCTGGTGATCACGTGGTTCAACGGCAAGACAAGTGTTTAAACACACTGTTGGTCTACACGTGTTTAAACACACATTTGGTCTACATGTGTTTAAACACACAGTTGGTCTACAAGTGTTTAAACACAATTGGTCTACATGTGTTTAAACTCACAGTTGGTCTACATGTGTTTAAACACACAGTTGGTCTACATGCGTATAAACACACAGTTGGTCTACATGTGTTTAAACACACAGTTGGTCTACATGCGTATAAACACAGTTGGTCTACATGTGTTTAAACACACAGTTGGTCTACATGCGTATAAACACAGTTGGTCTACATGTGTTTAAACACACAGTTGGTCTACATGCGTATAAACACACAGTTGGTCTACATGTGTTTAAACACACAGTTGGTCTACATGCGTATAAACACAGTTGGTCTACATGTGTTTAAACACACAGTTGGTCTACATGCGTATAAACACAGTTGGTCTACATGTGTTTAAACACACAGTTGGTCTACATGCGTATAAACACAGTTGGTCTACATGTTCATAAAGACAGCAACATTTTATAAAACATTTGATTTAAAACCTACATCTTTACATGTTCATAAAATTGTAAAGTATTAAATTTTGTCATCCCACAATTTGCATGCTTTATACTACATAAAATTTTTTTTTTTACAAATATTTCTCGATTAAATTAAACAATTAAAAAAGAAACATTTCCTACATTTATTTCACGTCTGTCTGTTTTTGTTGCCCGAGTGGCGATCACGCAGGGGCAGACAACTGTCTTCTAGCAATCTGCTGGTCGGGTTTTAACTCTATTCAGTAATAAAATGGGAGATAACAAGATTAAATACTAGAGATCGCGCGATCATCTCGCCACGGAGGGTGAACTGTTCTCACAGCACGAAGAAGGGGCAGACAACTGTCTTTTAGAGACTAGTAAAGGGGTTTTATTAGTTTTAACCCAAATATTTTTAGTAGCAGCCTATATAGATCTGCTTCATTTAGAAAGAGTTACTAAAAAGTAGAAAATAAAACAAATATAAAAACTTTGATAATAACAAGCTTTTAAATGCAATGAAAATAAAATAAACTTGTTCCTAAATTACCACCACCACCACCACCACCATCAACACTAGTATTGCAATCACCATCACCACCACCACCCCATTACCACCATCACCACCATCAACACTACTACTACCATCACTATCACCACCACCACCACCATCACCCCCACCACTACGACGACCACCACCACCATCACCATCACCACCACCAGTATCACCACCACCACCTCCACCACTACGACGACCACCACCACCATCACCACCACCACCATCACCACCACCACACCATCACCACCACCACTACCATCACCATCACCTCCACCATCAACACCACCACCACCACCACCATCACCTCCACCACTACGACGACCACCACCACCATCACCACCATCACCACCACCACCACCAACACCATCACCTCCACCAATCGACGACCACCACCACCATCACCACCACCATCATCACCACCACCATCACCACCACCATCACCACCACCATCACCACCACCATCACCACCACCACCACCACCATCACCACCATCACCACCACCACCACCACCATCACCTTTTGAGTAATTTACCCAACAACAACAAACCTCACGAGTGACTACTCTTAAACCACGACACGCTACAAATGACAAAGAGGTGATCACGTGATCACCCCCCCCCCTCCACCACAACACACCCCGACAGCACAGGTAATAGTTTTGTTGCCTGATTGAAATTTTCACGAACCGCCCCCCCCTCCCGTTAAGTCACACAATCGTCCAGTGTTGAGTGTGTTGTGTTTGAACACGAGCTAGTCGGCTGCTGAAGTTTGTCATCACACGGAGCATCAGACGACCAGCTCACGCGGACTAGTTTGTTCTGGTCACCCAATCTTTAAAGGTGAGTAAACTACAACATCTTCTGGTCTGTGGGGGATGGACATATCAAAATAGCTAGTTTGTTCAGAGGCAGTAGAGTTGACGTTAGAGTGACAACATCACTATGGAATTACAAAAGCAAACGATTCTCTTGTACAAATAGAAAGTAAGTTGTCCAATATTTAATTTCTAACAGTAAAAAAATTATGTAGATAAATAACTTCACAATCACGAGCCTCTAAAACAACAAAAACCAATTGGTAAAGTTGGAAGATCTAATCGTGTTCAGCGGACGTCACGTACGTCAGTCATTTTCTCTGTCAACATAATTACTGACTCAAACTTAGCTAATTAATTACTGTCACACAATGCCTAGAGCGCACTGTTCAATAAAATGTGTCAACAGCTTCAGGACTAGATGCGCATTTAAGGCTAACAGGGGTTAGGCTTAGGCTAGGCTTACTCAGGGGGCTGGTATAACGCTATACTAACTTAGGAATTAGGGCTAGGCTAACTAAGGGATTAAGGCTAGGCTAAAATAGAGGTTAGGGTTAAGGCTAGACTTAGGCTAGGGATATTGTTTGCCAGTTTTAAAACCGACAGTAAAAATGCGTGTAATGTGGGGGGGGGGGGGGGGGTCATTAGGAGGGCGTCATTAGGAGAGCGATTTCTAGGCTGTCTACCAACTCCCGGTCAAATAAGTCTACCAGTGTCTCACACTTAGGTTATACATAATTTAAAACTTTGGGTTTTTAAAATGGTGCTCTATGGAGGAATACTCAACACACCATGTGTTGTAAACACACCATGTGTTGTAAACACAGCATGTGTTGTAAACACAGCATGTGTTGTAAAGACATCTTGTGTTGACCCCTGAAACTTTTCTGTTTGAACTAAAACCTCGACAGTACATGACATTGTGTGGTCTAGCCAGGACATGACATTGTCACGGCACAACCAAATGTCATGTCTGGACAGCACCAAGTCCTCTTAGAGTCCCCTAATGTCCAGAGAACCAAATGTCATGTCCTCTAATGTCCAGATAATCAAATGTCATGTCCTCTAATGTCCAGAGAACCAAATGTCATGTCCTCTAATGTCCAGAGAACCAAATGTAAAATATATTGTGTAACTATGGCGTGGCAAAGCTCAAGTTAAAATAAGCCTAAACCAAACAATACTAAACCCCAACCAAACATTCGGCAAACGATGAGCCGAGCTGCCCTAAGTCACGTGACTATGCTGTCAGGTGACATCCCGTCGTGACGGTGGCAAGTTTTTATGTTCAGTGCCTGACCTCTGTGCCTGACCCCTGTGCCTGACCTCTTTACGTGACCTCTGTACGTGACCTCTGTAGCTGACCTCTTTACGTGACCTCTGTACGTGACCTCTGTACGTGACCTCTGTGCCTGACCTCTGTACGTGACCTCTGTACGTGACCTCTGTACGTGACCTTTGTGCCTGACTTACCACCAGACTTACCACCAGACTTACCACCAGACTTACCACCAGACTTACCACCAGACTTACCATCAGACTTACCATCAGACTTACCATCAGACTTACCATCAGACTTACCATCAGACTTACCATCAGACTTACCATCAGACTTACCATCAGACTTACCATCAGACTTACCATCAGACTTACCATCAGACTTACCATCAGACTTACCATCAGACTTACCATCAGACTTACCATCAGACTTACCATTAGACTTACCATCTGTCTCTACCACAACACATGACCGTGACCTTGCTACTAGCCAGCAACTGAACTTTGACCCCGACAAATTGAGCTGCCCGCCATTAAGTGTTGACCTGAGATTATCAAAACAATTGAGTCAGCTGACGACAGTGATTGTGTTAATTTTTTCCCCCACAGCATCAAGTACTCAAAGATCATGTATCAGAGCAGCTATTTATTCATTTTAACCGCGACTATTGGTGAGTCGATTTTTGATGTACAATGTTGTAGACTGCTTATCTAAGTTTACAATACAAATATATAACCTTGTTGTCGGCGTTCTTTAGCCGGTATTCTATATTTAACCGGCTTTTTATATCTGGCATTTTATTGACAAAAAAAAAAGGTTTTCGATTTATGTCGGAGGTCTGATAAAAAATGGTCTTGTAGATATAAAATAGTATTTAACGTTTCAAAAACAAGAATATTAAATATAAAATACTTTTTAACGTTTGAAAAACAAGAACATATCTAAGTAGGAAAGAAAAATGACAATATTGACACATGACATGTTAACTGGAGACTAGAGGCTAATCAGACACTCTGTCGTTAGTCTGTTCTATTTATAGAATGACAATTTTCGTAATTTACTTATGCCTTGTATTCCTTTAATAAAGTGTTTATAAGAGATGTATAAACAAACCAGTATAAACCCTTATAACACACGTGTTTGATATATTTGCATCATGTGCAGCCGCTGTCAGCCTTGTGACGTCAGACTGTCCTGGGGTCACAGAGTGCACTGTTCCATCACCGACCTTGACACAGTCTGAATACTGCCCGTAAGTAGGTCACGTTCTATGGCTAGTTGTAGGTCCTGTTGTTAGGTCCTGATGTTAGGTCCTGATGTTAGGTCCTGATGTTAGGTCCTGATGTTAGGTCCTGATGTTAGGTCCTGATGTTAGGTCCTGATGTTAGGTCCTGATGTAAGGTCCTGATGTTAGGTCCTGATGATAGGTCCTGATGTTAGGTCATATAATAGGTCTTATGGGAGTGGATGTAGTTTCTCAGGCATTTGATTCAATCCAGATATGTTATGTTGTCTTGCCACCCTCAGAGAGTAGATGGTGTCAGAGAGTAGATGGTGTCAGAGTAGATGGTGTCAGAGTAGATGGTGTCAGAGTAGATGGTGTCAGAGTAGATGGTGTCAGAGTAGATGGTGTCAGAGTAGATGGTGTCAGAGTAGATGGTGTCAGAGTAGATGGTGTCAGAGTAGATGGTGTTAGAGTAGATGGTGTCAGAGTAGATGGTGTTAGAGAGTAGATGGTGTCAGAGAGTAGATGATGTCAGAGAGTAGATGGTGTTAGAGTAGATGGTGTCAGAGTAGATGGTGTCAGAGTAGATGGTGTCAGAGTAGATGGTGTCAGAGAGTAGATGGTGTCAGAGTAGATGGTGTCAGAGTAGATGGTGTCAGAGTAGATGGTGTCAGAAAGTAGATGGTGTCAGAGAGTAGATGGTGTCAGAGAGTAGATGGTGTCAGAGAGTAGATGGTGTCAGAGAGTAGATGGTGTCAGAGTAGATGGTGTCAGAGAGTAGATGGTGTCAGAGTAGATGGTGTCAGAGTAGATGGTGTCAGAGAGTAGATGGTGTCAGAGAGTAGATGGTGTCAGAGTAGATGGTGTCAGAGTAGATGGTGTCAGAGTAGATGGTGTCAGAAAGTAGATGGTGTCAGAGAGTAGTTGGTGTCAGAGTAGATGGTGTCAGAGTAGATGGTGTCAGAGTAGATGGTGTCAGAGTAGATGGTGTCAGAGTAGATGGTGTCAGAGAGTAGATGGTGTCAGAGTAGATGGTGTCAGAGTAGATGGTGTCAGAGTAGATGGTGTCAGAGTAGATGGTGTCAGAGTAGATGGTGTTAGAGAGTAGATGGTGTCAGAGTAGATGGTGTCAGAGTAGATGGTGTCAGAGTAGATGGTGTTAGAGTAGATGGTGTTAGAGTAGATGGTGTCAGAGTAGATGGTGTCAGAGTAGATGGTGTCAGAGTAGATGGTGTCAGAGTAGATGGTGTTAGAGTAGATGGTGTCAGAGTAGATGGTGTTAGAGAGTAGATGGTGTCAGAGTAGATGGTGTTAGAGTAGATGGTGTCAGAGTAGATGGTGTCAGAGAGTAGATGGTGTCAGAGAGTAGATGGTGTCAGAGAGTAGATGGTGTTAGAGTAGATGGTGTCAGAGTAGATGGTGTCAGAGTAGATGGTGTCAGAGAGTAGATGGTGTCAGAGAGTAGATGATGTCAGAGAGTAGATGGTGTCAGAGAATAGATGGTGTCAGAGAGTAGATGGTGTCAGAGAGTAGATGGTGTCAGAGAGTAGATGGTGTCAGAGAGTAGATGGTGTTAGAGTAGATGGTGTCAGAGTAGATGGTGTCAGAGAGTAGATGGTGTCAGAGAGTAGATGGTGTTAGAGTAGATGGTGTCAGAGTAGATGGTGTCAGAGTAGATGGTGTCAGAGTAGATGGTGTCAGAGTAGATGGTGTTAGAGAGTAGATGGTGTCAGAGTAGATGGTGTCAGAGTAGATGGTGTCAGAGTAGATGGTGTCAGAGTAGATGGTGTCAGAGTAGATGGTGTCAGAAAGTAGATGGTGTCAGAGAGTAGATGGTGTCAGAGAGTAGATGGTGTCAGAGTAGATGGTGTCAGAGTAGATGGCGTCAGAGTAGATGGTGTCAGAGAGTAGATGGTGTCAGAGAGTAGATGGTGTCAGAGAGTAGATGGTGTCAGAGAGTAGATGGTGTCAGAGAGTAGATGGTGTCAGAGAGTAGATGGTGTCAGAGAGTAGATGGTGTCAGAGTAGATGGTGTCAGAGTAGATGGTGTCAGAGTAGATGGTGTCAGAGTAGATGGTGTCAGAGTAGATGGTGTCAGAGAGTAGATGGTGTCAGAGTAGATGGTGTCAGAGTAGATGGTGTCAGAGTAGATGGTGTCAGAGTAGATGGTGTCAGAGTAGATGGTGTCAGAGTAGATGGTGTCAGAGTAGATGGTGTTAGAGAGTAGATGGTGTCAGAGTAGATGGTGTCAGAGTAGATGGTGTCAGAGTAGATGGTGTTAGAGTAGATGGTGTTAGAGTAGATGGTGTTAGAGTAGATGGTGTCAGAGTAGATGGTGTCAGAGTAGATGGTGTCAGAGTAGATGGTGTCAGAGTAGATGGTGTCAGAGTAGATGGTGTTAGAGTAGATGGTGTCAGAGTAGATGGTGTCAGAGAGTAGATGGTGTCAGAGAGTAGATGGTGTCAGAGAGTAGATGGTGTCAGAGTAGATGGTGTTAGAGTAGATGGTGTCAGAGTAGATGGTGTCAGAGTAGATGGTGTCAGAGTAGATGGTGTCAGAGTAGATGGTGTCAGAGAGTAGATGGTGTCAGAGTAGATGGTGTCAGAGTAGATGGTGTCAGAGTAGATGGTGTCAGAGTAGATGGTGTCAGAGTAGATGGTGTCAGAGTAGATGGTGTCAGAGTAGATGGTGTTAGAGAGTAGATGGTGTCAGAGTAGATGGTGTCAGAGTAGATGGTGTCAGAGTAGATGGTGTTAGAGTAGATGGTGTTAGAGTAGATGGTGTTAGAGTAGATGGTGTCAGAGTAGATGGTGTCAGAGTAGATGGTGTCAGAGTAGATGGTGTCAGAGTAGATGGTGTCAGAGTAGATGGTGTCAGAGTAGATGGTGTCAGAGTAGATGGTGTCAGAGTAGATGGTGTCAGAGAGTAGATGGTGTCAGAGAGTAGATGGTGTCAGAGAGTAGATGGTGTCAGAGTAGATGGTGTTAGAGTAGATGGTGTCAGAGTAGATGGTGTCAGAGTAGATGGTGTCAGAGTAGATGGTGTCAGAGTAGATGGTGTCAGAGTAGATGGTGTCAGAGTAGATGGTGTTAGAGAGTAGATGGTGTCAGAGTAGATGGTGTTAGAGAGTAGATGGTGTCAGAGTAGATGGTGTCAGAGTAGATGGTGTCAGAGTAGATGGTGTCAGAGTAGATGGTGTCAGAGTAGATGGTGTCAGAGTAGATGGTGTCAGAGAGTAGATGGTGTCAGAGAGTAGATGGTGTCAGAGAGTAGATGGTGTCAGAGTAGATGGTGTCAGAGTAGATGGTGTCAGAGTAGATGGTGTTAGAGAGTAGATGGTGTCAGAGTAGATGGTGTTAGAGTAGATGGTGTCAGAGTAGATGGTGTCAGAGAGTAGATGGTGTCAGAGTAGATGGTGTCACAGAGTAGATTGTGTCAGAGTAGATTGTGTCAGAGTAGATTGTGTCAGAGTAGATGGTGTCAGAGTAGATGGTGTTAGAGAGTAGATGGTGTTAGAGTAGATGGTGTCAGAGTAGATGGTGTTAGAGTAGATGGTGTCAGAGTAGATGGTGTCAGAGTAGATGGTGTCAGAGAGTAGATGGTGTTAGAGTAGATGTTGTCAGAGTAGATGGTGTCAGAGAGTAGATGGTGTCAGAGTAGATGGTGTCAGAGTAGATGGTGTTAGAGAGTAGATGGTGTCAGAGTAGATGGTGTCAGAGTAGATGGTGTCAGAGAGTAGATGGTGTCAGAGAGTAGATGGTGTCAGAGAGTAGATGGTGTCAGAGAGTAGATGGTGTCAGAGAGTAGATGGTGTCAGAGTAGATGGTGTCAGAGTAGATGGTGTCAGAGTAGATGGTGTCAGAGTAGATGGTGTTAGAGAGTAGATGGTGTTAGAGAGTAGATGGTGTCAGAGTAGATGGTGTTAGAGTAGATGGTGTCAGAGTAGATGGTGTCAGAGAGTAGATGGTGTCAGAGAGTAGATGGTGTCAGAGAGTAGATGGTGTCAGAGTAGATGGTGTTAGAGTAGATGGTGTCAGAGTAGATGGTGTCAGAGTAGATGGTGTCAGAGTAGATGGTGTCAGAGTAGATGGTGTCAGAGTAGATGGTGTCAGAGTAGATGGTGTCAGAGTAGATGGTGTCAGAGAGTAGATGGTGTCAGAGAGTAGATGGTGTCAGAGAGTAGATGGTGTCAGAGTAGATGGTGTCAGAGTAGATGGTGTCAGAGTAGATGGTGTCAGAGTAGATGGTGTCAGAGTAGATGGTGTCAGAGTAGATGGTGTCAGAGTAGATGGTGTCAGAGTAGATGGTGTCAGAGTAGATGGTGTCAGAGTAGATGGTGTCAGAGTAGATGGTGTCAGAGAGTAGATGGTGTCAGAGAGTAGATGGTGTCAGAGAGTAGATGGTGTCAGAGAGTAGATGGTGTCAGAGAGTAGATGGTGTCAGAGAGTAGATGGTGTCAGAGAGTAGATGGTGTCAGAGAGTAGATGGTGTCAGAGAGTAGATGGTGTCAGAGAGTAGATGGTGTCAGAGAGTAGATGGTGTCAGAGAGTAGATGGTGTCAGAGAGTAGATGGTGTCAGAGAGTAGATGGTGTCAGAGAGTAGATGGTGTCAGAGAGTAGATGGTGTCAGAGTAGATGGTGTCAGAGTAGATGGTGTCAGAGAAGATGGTGTCAGAGAAGATGGTGTCAGAGAGTAGATGGTGTCAGAGAGTAGATGGTGTCAGAGAGTAGATGGTGTCAGAGAGTAGATGGTGTCAGAGAGTAGATGGTGTCAGAGTAGATGGTGTCAGAGTAGATGGTGTCAGAGTAGATGGTGTCAGAGTAGATGGTGTCAGAGTAGATGGTGTCAGAGTAGATGGTGTCAGAGTAGATGGTGTCAGAGTAGATGGTGTCAGAGTAGATGGTGTCAGAGTAGATGGTGTCAGAGTAGATGGTGTCAGAGTAGATGGTGTCAGAGTAGATGGTGTCAGAGAGTAGATGGTGTCAGAGAGTAGATGGTGTCAGAGTAGATGGTGTCAGAGTAGATGGTGTCAGAGTAGATGGTGTCAGAGTAGATGGTACAATTGAATTGAAAAAGTATCAAACTGGCCATGAAGAGACCAACCTGAACATTTAACCTACCTCAGTATGAGAGCTAACACACAGCTAACCATTTAACCAGCCCACACCTAACCGTTTAACTAGCCCACACCTAACCATTTAACCAGCCCACACCTAACCATTTAACCAGCCCACACCTAACCATTTAACCAGCCCACATCAAATTTAACCAGACATCACCTAACCATTTAACCAGCCCACACCTAACCGTTTAACCAGCCATCACCTAACCATTTAACCAGCCATCACCTAACCATTTAACCAGCCCACACCTAACCATTTAACCAGCCATCACCTAACCATTTAACCAGCCCACACCTAACCATTTAACCAGCCATCACCTAACCATTTAATCAGCCCACACCTAACCATTTAACCAGCCATCACCTAACCATTTAACCAGCCCACACCTAACCATTTAACCAGCCATCACCTAACCATTTAATCAGCCCACACCTAACCATTTAACCAGCCATCACCTAACCATTTAACCAGCCATCACCTAACCATTTAACCAGCCCACACCTAACCATTTAACCAGCCATCACCTAACCATTTAATCAGCCCACACCTAACCATTTAACCAGCCATCACCTAACCATTTAACCAGCCCACACCTAACCATTTAATCAGCCCACACCTAACCATTTAATCAGCCCACACCTAATCATTTAACCAGCCCACACCAAATTTAACCAGACATCACCTAACCATTTAACCAGCCCACACCTAACCGTTTAACCAGCCATCACCTAACCATTTAACCAGCCATCACCTAACCATTTAACCAGCCCACACCTAACCATTTAACCAGCCATCACCTAACCATTTAATCAGCCCACACCTAACCATTTAACCAGCCCTACCTAACCATTTAACCAGCCATCACCTAACCATTTAATCAGCCCACACCTAATCATTTAACCAGCCCACTGCCAACCATTTAACCAGCCCACACCAAACCATTTAACCAGCCCACAACTAACCGTTTAACCAGCCATCACCTAACCATATAACCAGCCCACACCTAACCATTTAACCAGCCCACACCTAACCATTTAACCAGCCATCACCTAACCATTTAACCACCATCTCCAGGAAGGCCAAAGTTTACCTGGCGTGTCTGCAAGCCGTGGCATCTAACGCCGACTGCAACTTCGTGTCCAAGACGGCGGCCAACACCTTGATCACTGGCACTGAGGTCACCATGAAGGCTAAGGACTGCTCAGGTAATTCCTAATGGATTGACGTTACACACCTCCACACACCACCACACACCATCACACACCACCATACACCACCATACACCCCCATACACCACACACCTCCACACACACCTCCACACACACCTCCACACACATCTCCACACACATCTCCACACACATCTCCACACACATCTCCACACACATCTCCACACACATCTCCACACACATCTCCACCCACATCTCCACCCACATCTCCACACACATCTCCACACACATCTCCACACACATCTCCACACACATCTCCACACACATCTCCACACACATCTCCACACACATCTCCACACACATCTCCACACACATCTCCACACACATCTCCACACACATCTCCACACACATCTCCACACACATCTCCACACACATCTCCACACACATCTCCACACACATCTCCACACACATCTCCACACACATCTCCACACACATCTCCACACACATCTCCACACACATCTCCACACACATCTCCACACACATCTCCACACACATCTCCACACACATCTCCACACACATCTCCACACACATCTCCACACACATCTCCACACACATCTCCACACACATCTCCACACACATCTCCACACACACTACCACACACCTCCACACATGCATGTGGAAACCCTGCCACGCCAATCATGTGACAGCTCTTGTGGCATCCCCATGACAACCCATGTGACAACCCTCGACTGACCAACCAACCAACCGTATCATCCCCAGGTGCTGTTGCTGTGCTGCCCTCACTCGTGCTCTGTGTCTGGCTCAGTCTGGTGATCACGTGGTTCAACGGCAAGACAAGTGTTTAAACACACAGTTGGTCTAATGTGTTTAAACACAGTTTGTCTGCAAGTGTTTAAACACAGTTGGTCTGCAAGTGTTTAAACACACAGTTGTTATACATGTGTTTAAACACACAGTTGACCTACATGCGTTTAAATCGATTAAATGTTTTCACTTCAATATTTTCTAGTTCATAAATTTCCACCATTGTAACGTTACCTCACATCACAAATGTACAGTTACAGAATTCGTTTCATTTACATTTTATTCAAGAAAAAAATTTCATAAATAAAAAAGTTTTCTTTTTAATTGAATGAGAATGGGTGAAATCAAATTAAGTGAGTTGAACCTAGTCAACTTTAAGTAAAGAGTTGAACCTAGTCAACTTTAAGTAAAGAGTTGAACCTAGTCAACTTTAAGTAAAGAGTTGAACCTAGTCAACTGTAAGTAAAGAGTTGAACCTAGTCAACTTTAAGTAAAGAGTTGAACCTAGTCAACTTTAAGTAAAGAGTTGAACCTAGTCAACTTTAAGTAAAGAGTTGAACCTAGTCAACTGTAAGTAAAGAGTTGAACCTAGTCAACTTTAAGTAAAGAGTTGAACCTAGTCAACTTTAAGTAAAGAGTTGAACCTAGTCAACTGTAAGTAAAGAGTTGAACCTAGTCAACTTTAAGTAAAGAGTTGAACCTAGTCAAAATTAAGTAAAGAGTTGAACCTAGTCAACTTTAAGTAAAGAGTTGAACCTAGTCAACTTTAAGTAAAGAGTTGAACCTAGTCAACTTTAAGTAAAGAGTTGAACCTAGTCAACTTTAAGTAAAGAGTTGAACCTAGTCAACTTTAAGTAAAGAGTTGAACCTAGTCAACTTTAAGTAAAGAGTTGAACCTCGTCAACTTTAAGTAAAGAGTTGAACCTCGTCAACTTTAAGTAAAGAGTTGAACCTAGTCAACTTTAAGTAAAGAGTTGAACCTAGTCAACTTTAAGTAAAGAGTTGAACCTAGTCAACTATACATGATAAACCTGGTCAACTATAAGTGATGAATGTAATGAACCTAGTCAACTTTAAGTGAGTTGAACCTAGTCCACCATAAATGATGAACCTAGTCAACTTTAAGTGAGTTGAACCTAGTCAACTTTAAGTGAGTTGAACCTAGTCGACTATAAATGATGAGCCTAGTCGACTATAAATGATGAACCTAGTCGACCATAAATGATGAACCTAGTCGACCATAAATGATGAACCTAGTCGACCATAAATGATGAACCTAGTCGACCATAAATGATGAACCTAGTCAACTTTAAGTGAGTTGAACCTAGTCGACCATAAATGATGAACCTAGTCAACTTTAAGTGAGTTGAACCTAGTCGACCATAAATGATGAACCTAGTCAACTTTAAGTGAGTTGAACCTAGTCGACCATAAATGATGAACCTAGTCAACTTTAAGTGAGTTGAACCTAGTCAACTATAAATGATGAACCTAGTCAACAATAAATGATGAACCTAGTCGACCATAAATGATGAACCTAGTCGACTATAAATGATGAACCTAGTCGACCATAAATGATGAACCTAGTCGACCATAAATGATGAACCTAGTCGACCATAAATGATGAACCTAGTCGACTATAAATGATGAACCTAGTCGACCATAAATGATGAACCTAGTCGACCATAAATGATGAACCTAGTCGACCATAAATGATGAACCTAGTCGACCATAAATGATGAACCTAGTCGACCATAAATGATGAACCTAGTCGACTATAAATGATGAACCTAGTCGACTATAAATGATGAACCTAGTCGACCATAAATGATGAACCTAGTCAACTTTAAGTGACACAAAACGACACCCCACCAACTTGTATATATTTATCACTAGCCGCCCCGGCCAGGCCCTGCACTGGCTATTGAGATAACTTACCTGTGGAGCTAATTAAGCATCATATATATGCGTGTCCGGGGTATTAAGTTTTCAATTTAAAGATCGAAACCTAAACATAATCGCAAACATAAACATAAACGCAAACATAAACGGAATCACAAGCAAACAATAATGTAAACACGAACATAGAGAAAATTTGGGAACGGCTTGTGAACTATTGCTAAAATTATTATTGTACAGAACATTCAAAGGAAGTAATTGGTATAAAGGTAAAATTATAATTTTTGTTAATGGAAAAACATTATAAGTTTGATTTTGTCATTTGCACTTCACGTAAATTAAAATGTGAATAGAGACTGAGTCCATTTGTGTAATGCTCTCACATGTGAATACATGTGATATACTTGATGTAATACTATCACCTGTGAATAGTTGTGACATACTTGATGTAATACTCAATGGACGTTGATTTCATTAGGACCCAGTGGTGGGATCTAACCCGAGGTCCCAGATGACCCCCCTCCCCTCCCCACCCCTTGCAAAAGATGGTCTTGCAGACACGATTTCTTAACTAATTTTATTTCCACCTCAGGAAGGTGTTAAACGTCGAGATTAAAAAAATAATCCCCGGATTTCAAAACTAATCTCGAAATTACAAAACTTCCCTGAATCCCTTGTATTCCGTATACGAGAAAATAAAAAAAAAACTTATTTTGAGGCTCTTTAGGGCCGCACGAAGTTGCTTATCGTATCTTGTTTTAAATAATGAATAAATTAGGCTGTTAATGTGTTTTTACCTGGAATCAAACTGGTTCCAGAGATTCTCTGTATGCTGGCGTGAAGGATGCGCACGTGCTTCATGGTGCGCACCAAGTGCAGCTGACCGCATTATTCAGACATCAACATCCTGTTGTCTCTAGTCCAACACCAATATTTTCCATTCGAATTTCTCCAAACCTGAAAGTTATGGTAGATCTAAAACTAGTTCAATTGGTTTTTGGAGGTAAGTACAGAAGGGTCAAAGTCCAACCCGGGTGTCGAAAGTTTAATTAATCTGTATTCGCCGTGCTTTGTCGTGTTTTGTCGTGTTTCATTGTATTTAGTCGTGTTTTGTCGTGTTTCGTGGTATTTAGTCGTGTTGTGTCGTGTTTCGTGGTATTTAGTCGTGTTGTGTCGTGTTTCGTGGTATTTAGTCGTGTTGTGTCGTGTTTCGTGGTATTTAGTCGTGTTGTGTCGGTTTCGATAGACCGCCGGCAGATAAACCCAGCGAGATCTAGAGTAGAGTGAAGTTTGTTGAGCTCAGGTCAACTAAATAGATGTGTACATTTACAACCCAACTAACTAGATGTGTACAATTAGAAGCCAACTAACTAGATGTGTACATTTAGAAGCCAACTCTAACTAGATGTGTACATTTAGAAGCCAACTCTAACTAGATGTGTACATTTAGAAGCTAACTCTAACTGGATGTGTACATTTAGAAGCCAACTCTAACTAGATGTGTACATTTACAACCCAACTAACTAGATGTGTACATTTAGTAGCCAACTAACTAGATGTGTACATTTAGAAGCCAACTCTAACTAGATGTGTACATTTAGAAGCCAACTAACTAGATGTGTACATTTAGAAGCCAACTAACTAGATGTGTACATTTAGAAGCTAACTCTAACTGGATGTGTACATTTAGAAGCCAACTCTAACTAGATGTGTACATTTACAACCCAACTAACTAGATGTGTACATTTAGTAGCCAACTAACTAGCTGTGTACATTTAGAAGCCAACTCTAACTAGATGTGTACATTTAGAAGCTAACTCTAACTGGATGTGTACATTTAGAAGCCAACTCTAACTAGATGTGTACATTTACAACCCAACTAACTAGATGTGTACATTTAGAAGCCAACTAACTAGATGTGTACATTTAGAAGCCAACTCTAACTAGATGTGTACATTTAGAAGCCAACTCTAACTAGATGTGTACATTTAGAAGCCAACTAACTAGATGTGTACATTTAGAAGCCAACTAACTAGATGTGTACATTTAGAAGCCAACTCTAACTAGATGTGTACATTTAGAAGCCAACTCTAACTAGATGTGTACATTTAGAAGCTAACTAACTAGATGTGTACATTTAGAAGCCAACTATGGCTAGATGTGTACATTTAGAAGCCAACTATGGCTAGATGTGTACATTTAGAAGCCAACTCTAACTAGGTGTGTACATTTACAACCCAACTAACTAGATGTGTACATTTAGAAGCCAACTAACTAGATGTGTACATTTAGAAGCCAACTATGGCTAGATGTGTACTTTTACAACCCAACTAACTAGATGTGTACATTTACAACCCAACTAACTGGATGTGTACATTTAGAAGCCAACTAACTAGATGTGTACATTTAGAAGCCAACTAACTAGATGTGTACATTTAGAAGCCAACTAACTGGATGTGTACATTTACAACCCAACTAACTAGATGTGTACATTTACAACCCAACTAACTGGATGTGTACATTTAGAAGCCAACTAACTAGATGTGTACATTTACAACCCAACTATGGCTAGATGTGTACATTTACAACCCAACTATGGCTAGATGTGTACATTTACAACCCAACTATGGCTAGATGTGTACATTTACAACTCAACTAACTAGATGTGTACATTTACAACCCAACTAACTAGATGTGTACATTTACAACCCAACTAACTAGATGTGTACATTTAGAAGCCAACTAACTAGATGTGTACATTTAGAAGCCAACTATGGCTAGATGCGTACATTTACAACCCAACTAACTAGATGTGTACATTTACAACCCAACTAACTAGATGTGTACATTTAGAAGCCAACTCTAACTAGATGTGTACATTTAGAAGCCAAGCATGGCTAGATGTGTACATTTAGAAGCCAACTAACTAGATGTGTACATTTAGAAGCCAACTAACTAGATGTGTACATTTAGAAGCCAAGCATGGCTAGATGTGTACATTTACAACCCCACTAACTAGATGTGTACATTTACAACCCAACTAACTAGATGTGTACATTTACAACCCAACTAACTAGATGTGTACATTTAGAACCCCACTAACTAGATGTGTACATTTAGAAGCCAACTCTAACTAGATGTGTACATGAAGAAGCCAACTATGGCTAGATGTGTACATTTACAACCCCACTAACTAGATGTGTACATTGCTTCTCTTCTAGCCATGATGTTGAATGTGCTGTTGGCGTGTGATAGAATCACCGACTGTACGCCACCAATGGACTCGGATGCTGAAGTCTGCAGGTATATCGCTTACAGACAAACATACAGACAAACTTACAGACAAACTTACAGACACACTTACAGACAAACATACAGACAAACATACAGACAAACTTAGAGACAAACATACAGACAAACTTACAAACTTACAGACACACTTACAGGCACACTTGCAGACAAACATACAGACAAACTTACAGACACACTTACAGACAAACATACAGACAAACTTACAGACACACAGACAAACTTACAGACAAACATACAGACACACTTACAGACAAACTTACAAACATACAGACAAACATACAGAAAAACATACAGACAAACATACAGACAAACTTACAGACACACAGACAAACTTACAGACAAACATACAGACAAACTTACAGACAAACTTACAGACATACAGACACACTTACAGACAAACATACAGACAAACATACAGACAAACTTAGAGACAAACTTACAGACACACTTACAGACAAACATACAGACACACAGACAAACTTACAGACAAACATACAGACACACTTACAGACAAACATACAGACAAACATACAGAAAAACATACAGACAAACATACAGACAAACTTACAGACACACAGACAAACTTACAGACAAACATACAGACAAACTTACAGACAAACTTACAGACATACAGACACACTTACAGACAAACATACAGACAAACATACAGACAAACTTAGAGACAAACTTACAGACACACTTACAGACAAACATACAGACACACAGACAAACTTACAGACAAACATACAGACAAACTTACAGACAAACTTACAGACAAACATACAGACAAACATACAGACAAACATACAGACACACAGACAAACTTACAGACAAACATACAGACAAACATACAGACACACTTACAGACAAACATACAGACACACAGACAAACTTACAGACAAACTTACAGACACACTTACAGACAAACATACAGACAAACATACAGACAAACATACAGACAAACAGACAGACAAACAGACAGACAAACAGACAGACAAACATACAGACAAACATACAGACAAACAGACAGACAAACAGACAGACAAACATACAGACAAACTTACAGACAAACTTAGAAACAAACATACAGACAAACATACAGACCAATTTACAGACAAACTTATAGACAAACTTATAGACAAACTTACACACAAACATAGGCACACGCAAACTTACAGACAAACTTACTGACAGACTTACTGACAAACTTACAAACTTACAGTCAAACTTAGAGACAAACTTAGAGACAAGCTTACAAGCTTACAAACTAACAGACAAACTTACAAACTCACAAACATCCATATGCTTATATCTTAGCGCCGTTTGCTTTATTGAACTATTTTAACACCTACCTCTCATAAAATCTACCTCTTATAAAACCTACCTCTTTGTAAAACCTACCTCTCACAAACCCTACTACAAATAAACCTACCTCTCACAAAACCTACCTCACATAAAACCTACCTCTTTGTAAAACCTACCTCTTTATAAAACCTACCTCTCACAAAATCTACCTCACATAAACCTACCTCTCACAAAATCTACCTCACATAAACCTACCTCTCACAAAACCTACCTCACATAAAACCTACCTCTCACAAACCCTACTACAAATAAACCTACCTCTCATAAAATCTACCACACATAAACCTACCTCTCACAAAACCTACCACACATAAACCTACCTCTCACAAAACCTACCACACATAAACCTACCTCTCACAAAACCTACCACACATAAACCTACCTCTCACAAAACCTACCACACACAAAACCTACCACACATAAACCTACCACACATAAAACCTACCTCTCACAAAACCTACCTCACATAAACCTACCTCTCTCCCAGACTCTCGGCTGCCTATGTCTTCTGTCTGAACAACAAAAACCTCAGCGACTGCGGGCAGGGTACGGCCATAGAGGTGGCTCTGCTTAAGGAGAAGACGTACAAGCTGATGTCATCCATCCACTGTCCAGGTACGTGTGACGTCATGTCATCCATCCACTGGCCAGGTACGTGTGACGTCATGTCATCCATCCACTGTCCAGGTACGTGTGACGTCATGTCATCCATCCGCTCGCTAGGTACGTGTGACGTCATGTCATCCATCCGCTCGCTAGGTACGTGTGACGTCATGTCATCCATCCACTGTCCAGGTACGTGTGACGTCATGTCATCCATCCACTGTCCAGGTACTTGTGACGTCATGTCATCCATCCACTGGCCAGGTACGTGTGACGTCATGTCATCCACCCATTTCCTAGGTAGGTGTGACGTCATGTCATACATCCAATTTCCAGGTACGTGTGACGTCAAATGAAGCAGCCATTAGGTGAGTGATGTGACGACATACATGATGACGTCAAAAGGTATTGTGTCACTAACTAACCCTAACCCTAACCCTAAAGGTATTGTGTCAATATCTAACCCTAACCCTAAACCTAAAGGTATTGTGTCAATATCTAACCCTAACCCTAAACCTAAAGGTATTGTGTCAATAACTAACCCTAAACCTAAAGGTATTGTGTCAATAACTAACCCTAACCCTAAACCTAAAGGTATTGTGTCACTAACTATCACATTTGTAGATAGCGAAAAATAGCTGAAACATAATCATTAACCATTGTTAACATTAGAATTTTTACAATGATTGAAATATCATGGTTTACAATGATTGAAATATCATGTTTTTCAATGATTGAAATATCATGTTTGACCATGTCTGCAGCTAGAGAATGTAAACCAATGTCAGCTTGTCGCCTCATTACTGGAAAATCCAAGTTATCTTTCTGCAGGTCAGTGGGTTGGGATGGGCTTTGTTGGGGGAGTGAGTTGGGATGGGCTTTGTTGGGGAGTGGGTTGGAATGGGCTTTGTTGGGGGGGGGGGAGTGGGTTGGGATGGGCTTTGTTGGGGAGTGGGTTGGGATGGGCTTTGTTGGGGAGTGGGTTGGGATGGGCTTTTGGTGTTGGGGAGTAGGTTGGGATGGGTTTTGTTGGGGAGTGGGTTGGGATGGGCTTTGTTGGGGAGTGGGTTGGGATGGGCTTTTGGTGTTGGGGAGTGGGTTGGGATGTGTTTTGTTGGGGAGTGGGTTGGGATGGGCTTTGTTGGGGAGTGGGTTGGGATGGGTTTTGTTGGGGAGTGGGTTGGGATGGGCTTTGTTGGGGAGTGGGTTGGGATGGGTTTTGTTGGGGAGTGGGTTGGGATGGGCTTTGTTGGGGAGTGGGTTGGGATGGGTTTTGTTGGGGAGTGGGTTGGGATGGGCTTTGTTGGGGAGTGGGTTGGGATGGGCTTTTGATGTTGGGGAGTGGGTTGGGATGGGCTTTGTTGGGGAGTGGGTTGGGATGGGCTTTTGGTGTTGGGTTGTGGGTTGGGATGGGCTTTGTTGGGGATTGGGTTGGGATGGGCTTTTGGTGTTGGGGGAGTGGGTTGGGATGGGCTTTTGGTGTTGGGGGAGTGGGTTGGGATGGGCTTTTGGTGTTGGGGGAGTGGGTTGGGATGGGCTTTTGGTGTTGGGTTGTGGGTTGGGATGGGCTTTTGGTGTTGGGGGAGTGGGTTGGGATGGGCTTTTGGTGTTGGGGGAGTGGGTTGGGATAGGCTTTTGGTGTTGGGGGAGTGGGTTGGGATGGGCTTTTGGTGTTGGGGGAGTGGGTTGGGATAGGCTTTTGGTGTTGGGGGAGTGGGTTGGGCTTTTGGTGTTGGGGGAGTGGGTTGGGATAGGCTTTTGGTGTTGGGGGAGTGGGTTGGGATGGGCTTTTGGTGTTGGGGGAGTGGGTTGGGATAGGCTTTTGGTGTTGGGGGAGTGGGTTGGGATGGGTTTTGTTGGGGAGTGGGTTGGGATGGGCTTTTGGTGTTGGGGAGTAGGTTGGGATGGGTTTTGTTGGGGAGTGGGTTGGGATGGGCTTTGTTGGGGAGTGGGTTGGGATGGGTTTTGTTGGGGAGTAGGTTGGGATGGGCTTTTGGTGTTGGGGGAGTGGGTTGGGATGGGCTTTTGGTGTTGGGGGAGTGGGTTGGGATGGGCTTTTGGTGTTGGGGGAGTGGGTTGGGATAGGCTTTTGGTGTTGGGGGAGTGGGTTGGGATGGGCTTTTGGTGTTGGGGAGTGGGTTGGGATGTGCTTTTGATGTGGGGAAGTAGGATATCGGTGTTTTGGTTGGAAATTGGTGTTTATTTGGAATAGTATTGTATAGTTTTCGGGTTTGATAGATTATAACATGTTTTACATTATTGGTGACTTTTAATGACAACAATCTGTTGTCCAATGACAACCATCTGTTGTTCTATGCCAACCATCTGTGTTCTATGCCAACCCTCAGTAACGCTCTGTCATATGCCAACTGTCTGAGGTATTACGTCATACGACTGGACTGTCCGAAAAGAGACGCGGATCTGGCTGTCATTTTGTACACGGACATAGCCATGTTGATCAAGCGGGACTGTAAAGGTGGGGGTCTGACGTGGTCGGGGGGGGGGTCTGACCAGGTGTTTGTGTGCGGGGGGGGGGGGGTCTGTCCAGGTGAGTGTGTGTGTGTGTGGGGGGGGGTCTGTACAGGTTTGGGGGTCTGACCAGGTAAGGGGTTTGTGCCTATATTTCAATTACGTGTCGTCTCCCCCCTCCAGTTGATGTGGAGCCTGACGACATCCACGACACAGAATGTGACCCCCACAGGTGTAACGTCATTTTACAAGGCAAAGATTGCAGGTTTGTACTTGCTGTCACATGTTTGTACTTGTTCTGTCACAGGTTTGTACTTGCTATGTCACGTGGACAAATTTGGTAAAGTTTCTCTAATACCCATGTTTGGTAAAGTTTCTCTAATACCCATGTTTGGTAAAGTTTCTCTGATACCCATGTTTGGTAAAGTTTCTCTGATACCTATGTTTGGTAAAGTTTCTCTGATACCCATGTTTGGTAAAGTTTCTCTAATAACCATGTTTGGTAAAGTTTCTCTGATAACCATGTTTGGTAAAGTTTCTCTGATACCCATGTTTGGTAAAGTTTCTCTGATACCCATGTTTGGTAAAGTTTCTCTGATACCCATGTTTGGTAAAGTTTCTCTAATACCCATGTTTGGTAAAGTTTCTCTGATACCCATGTTTGGTAAAGTTTCTCTAATACCCATGTTTGGTAAAGTTTCTCTGATACCCATGTTTGGTAAAGTTTCTCTAATACCCATGTTTGGTAAAGTTTCTCTAATACCCATGTTTGGTAAAGTTTCTCTGATACCCATGTTTGGTAAAGTTTCTCTAATACCCATGTTTGGTAAAGTTTCTCTAATACCCATGTTTGGTAAAGTTTCTCTGATACCCATGTTTGGTAAAGTTTCTCTGATACCCATGTTTGGTAAAGTTTCTCTGATACCCATGTTTGGTAAAGTTTCTCTGATACCCATGTTTGGTAAAGTTTCTCTGATACCCATGTTTGGTAAAGTTTCTCTGATACCCATGTTTGGTAAAGTTTCTCTAATACCCATGTTTGGTAAAGTTTCTCTGATACCCATGTTTGGTAAAGTTTCTCTAATACCCATGTTTGGTAAAGTTTCTCTAATACCCATGTTTGGTAAAGTTTCTCTGATACCCATGTTTGGTAAAGTTTCTCTAATACCCATGTTTGGTAAAGTTTCTCTGATACCCATGTTTGGTAAAGTTTCTCTGATACCCATGTTTGGTAAAGTTTCTCTGATACCCATGTTTGGTAAAGTTTCTCTGATACCCATGTTTGGTAAAGTTTCTCTGATACCCATGTTTGGTAAAGTTTCTCTGATACCCATGTTTGGTAAAGTTTCTCTGATACCCATGTTTGGTAAAGTTTCTCTAATACCCATGTTTGGTAAGGTTTCTCTAATACCCATGTTTGGTAAAGTTTCTCTAATACCCATGTTTGGTAAAGTTTCTCTGATACCCATGTTTGGTAAAGTTTCTCTAATACCCATGTTTGGTAAAGTTTCTCTGATACCCATGTTTGGTAAAGTTTCTCTGATACCCATGTTTGGTAAAGTTTCTCTAATACCCATGTTTGGTAAAGTTTCTCTAATACCCATGTTCGGTAAAGTTACTCTGATACCCATGTTTGGTAAAGTTTTGTCTTGCTTTAGACAGGACGAGACGTTCATGAACTGCCTGAAGAAAATTGCCTACGGCTATAAATGTCCGGACAGTGTCAAGGTCGTGTCCCAAGCGCAGCTCGACTACTCACTCAACTACTACAAGCGCTGCCGTAGCTCAGGTACTCAACCACACCTGTAGTCTGACGTCATGTCGGTTTAGGTGTGACGTCATATTTTGTCACATATGACGTCCTATGTTGGGTTAGGTGTGACGTCATATTTTGTCACATATGACGTCCTATGTTGGGTTAGGTGTGACGTCATATTTTGTCACATATGACGTCCTATGTCGGGTTCGATGTGACGTCATATTTTGTCACATATGACGTCATATTTTGTCACATATGACCAAAAAATCTTATGCTTTATGTCGTCTTGTTTCAAATTATGTGTGACGTTCTGTATTGTGGGATGAGTGACATCCTTTATACAATCATGTGTGACGTCAGTATAGTGTTTATGTAACTCTAATGCTGGGTACTGAATTATGCTGCGTTTTGTCCACAGGATTCGTTGTGCTGACTCCACCAGCAATGCTGTCGTTAGGTCTGAGCCTGATGGTTAGTGGAGTTAGGCTCCTAACTTAGTCCACATGGACAGAAGATTGACAGTTGAAAGTTTGAGAGTGCCAACCCAACACACACCGACAGAAGATGATAGCTCATCACACCATCATCAACCGCCCTTCACATTGTAAGTTCTCTGTACACCGTTAAACAAAGATCCCGTTACATCCTAGTTGTGGTGTTGATAGCAGCCCCCTCCCACCCCACCCCGTTGTTCTACCAACACGTTTCTCATTTCTTCATAAGACAAGTGACCACAACTGACCACACAACCGACCACACAACCACACGCTACTGACCACACAACCACACGCTACTGACCACATTAGCAACTGACCACACAACCGACCACACAACCGACCACACAACCACACGCTACTGACCACACAACCACACGCTACTGACCACATTAGCAACTGACCACACAGCCACACGCAACTGACCACACAACCACAAGCAACTGACCACACAACCACAAGCAACTGGACACACAACCACACGCAACTGACCACACGCTACTGACCACACAACCACAAATGTCTACAAACACAATATTTTAAAAAGTTTTATGAAGTTTATCTACTACAATTCCAGCAAAAATAAACGATGTGTGTGTGATTGAAAGAGTTTTGAACCTTCTCTCTGTTTCCCCCTCACGGACTGCTAAAGCTGCATACCCCGGTGTGTGAAGAATTCTGTAGCGAGCACGTAGGCTGATAGTACCAGCAGAAACGTACGGACTTTTGTTAAGGGCAGCAACTCATCCTTGCCTGACAATAGCAAATAAATTCACCAGTTACAGATCCTACTTGTTTTTATTTTTGCCACATTTAAGGTATATGTTGTATATGCATATGTAAATATATTCATACATAACATGATAAAATATATTTTTACCCATATATAATGTGACACAAGATGGACGCTAAAATTAACCATCAGGCGCAGAGAAAAGTTGAAGAAAATGATCTTTATGGTACAAAAGTTTATGGTCCAACCGTTTATGGTCCAACCGTTTATGATCCAACCGTTTACGGTCCACCAATTGTAATGTCACTATTTCGGATCTGATGGGTACCTGACTCTAGTCCACCCAGCGCTGATGGGTACTTGATTGACGTCATTTGCTGACGTCATTAGTTAACTAAGCCTAGCGTGGATCGTTAGGGTTAGGGTTATTTAACTAATCCTAAAGTGAATGCTGACCTGAACACCGCCGGGCGGCCATTGCCCCCTCTATGGTCAGCTTAGAGAGTCTGGCGTTGCCAATGGCTGTGTAGGAGCACTCGTCGTCCTGTATGATGAGGTCAAGGCACTGGACGTAGTCGCCAGCTTGCCTGCAACATGGGGCGTGGCCGTTACTAGGTGTGGGCGTGGCCGTTACTAGGTGTGGCCGTGGCCGTTACTAGGTGTGGGCGTGGCCGTTACTAGGTGTGGGCGTGGGTGTTACTAGGTGTGGGCGTTACTAGGTGTGGGCGTTACTAGGTGTGGTCGTTACTAGGTGTGGGAGTGGGTGTTACTAGATGTGTGCGTGGCCGTTACTAGTTGTGGGCGTGGCTATGACTAGATGAGGGTGGGGAGGTAACCTGGAGCGTGAAGTTGAGTGACATTGCTGTTACCATTCGGGAGGGGCCAAAAAACCAACGTCGTTTCTCTCAGAGATTCCAGGTTAAGTTTCTCTCAGAGATTCCAGGTTAAGTTTCTCTCAGAGATTCCAGGTTAAGTTTCTCTCAGAGATTCCAGGTTAAGTTTCTCTCAGAGATTCCAGGTTAAGTTTCTCTCAGAGATTCCAGGTTAAGTTTCTCTCAGAGATTCCAGGTTTAGTACGATCAAAAACTTGAGAAATGTGAGTAACCCCAGAACACAAATGTTGAACACAATGTTGAACACAATGTTGAACACAATGTTGAACACAATGTTGAACACAATGTTGAATACAATGTTGAACACAATGTTGAACACAATGTTGAACACAATGTTGAATACAATGTTGAACACAATGTTGAACACAATGTTGAATACAATGCTGAACACAATGTTGAACACAATGTTGAACACAATGTTGAACACAATGTTGAACACAATGTTGAACACAATGTTGAATACAATGCTGAACACAATACTGAACACAATACTGAACACAAATATTGAACACAATGTTGAACACAATGTTGAACACAATGTTGAACACAATGTTGAACACAATGTTGAACACAATGTTGAACACAATGTTGAACACAATGCTGAACACAAAGAACACACATGAAGGATGGCACTCACTCGCAAAAAGCTGAAATTCTGGATGATAGTTTTGGAAATATACAGTCGAACTTTCCCGGGCAGGCAAGGTTATTGTCGGATGAGGTGGGCTTTTGTGTTCTTTGATCTGGAGTAAATCGTGAGCTCATGAATGACGTTGTGCTTGAAGCTGTTATACTACGCCTACACACAAATATATTCCAACATATAGAAGCAATTAGTGCTTGTCTACACGTGATTTTACTCAGGACATTTGATAGTGTATGGCAGGTAAGGCAGGTATTTAGGCTGATCTCTTGTGACACGGATACACTTGCAGGTAGAAGAACACTGTGTAGTTACAGGTAGACGAACACTGTGTAGTTACAGGTAGAAGAACTTTGTATAGTTACAGGTAGACCAACACACCTGCAGTGATGTGTAAACAGCTGTGACCTACCTTGGATGCAGCCTCTGATCTTCATGACCTACCTTGGATGCAGCCTCTGATCTTCATGACCTACCTTGGATGCAGCCTCTGATCATCATGACCTACCTTGGATGCAGCCTCTGATCATCATGACCTACCTTGGATGCAGCCTCTGATCATCATGACCTACCTTGGATGCAGCCACTGATCTTCATGACCTACCTTGGATGCCGCCTCTGATCTTCATGACCTACCTTGGATGCAGCCTCTGATCTTCATGACCTACCTTGGATGCCGCCTCTGAAAATGACCTACCTTGGATGCAGCCCCTGATCTTCATGACCTACCTTGGATGCAGCCTCTAATCTTCATGACCTACCTTGGATGCAGCCTCTGATCTTCATGACCTACCTTGGATGCAGCCCCTGATCTTCATGACCTACCTTGGATGCAGCCTCTGATCATCATGACCTACCTTGGATGCCGCCTCTGATCATCATGACCTACCTTGGATGCAGCCTCTGATCTTCATGACCTACCTTGGATGCAGCCCCTGATCATCATGACCTACCTTGGATGCAGCCCCTGATCTTCATGACCTGACCAATTGTTTCCTTGACGTGCTGGGCACGCTCCAGCAGCTCTCTCGTGCAGTGGACGTTGGCCAGGATCTGCTCCACACACTCCAGCTGGCTCTGGCTCTGGCTGGGGACATCCGGTGGATGGGGATATCACATCCGGTGGATGGGGATATCACATCCGGTGGATAGGGACATGACATCCGGTGGATGGGGATATCACATCCGGTGGATGGGGATATCACATCCGGTGGATAGGGACATGACATCCGGTGGATGGGGATATTACATCCGGTGGATGGGGATATCACATCCGGTGGATGGGGATATCACATCCGGTGGATAGGGACATGACATCCGGTGGATGGGGATATCACATCCGGTGGATGGGGATATCACATCCGGTGGATGGGGATATCACATCCGGTGGATGGCGACATGATCGTGAGTGGATGATACAGTCGGCAGACATCACATCCGGTGAATAGCGGAGGAAGACATGAAGTGGATGGTGGAAGAAGACATGAAGTGGATGGTGGAAGAAGACATGAAGTGGATGGTGGAAGAAGACATGAAGTGGATGGTGGAAGAAGACATGAAGTGGATGGTGGAAGAAGACATGAAGTGGATGGTGGAGTGAGACATGAAGTGGATGGTGGAGGAAGACATAAAGTGGATGGTGGAAGAAGACAGGAAGTGGATGGTGAAAGAAGACATGAAGTGGATGGTGGAAGAAGACATGAAGAGGATGGTGGAAGAAGACATGAAGCGGATGGTGGAAGAAGACATGAAGAGGATGGTGGAAGAAGACATGAAGCGGATGGTGGAAGAAGACATGAAGCGGATGGTGGAAGAAGACATGAAGAGGATGGTGGAAGAAGACATGAAGCGGATGGTGGAAGAAGACATGAAGCGGATGGTGGAAGAAGACATGAAGTGGATGGTGGAAGAAGACATGAAGCGGATGGTGGAAGAAGACATGAAGTGGATGGTGGAAGAAGACATGAAGCGGATGGTGGAAGAAGACATGAAGCGGATGGTGGAAGAAGACATGAAGTGGATGGTGGAAGAAGACATGAAGTGGATGGTGGAAGAAGACATGAAGCGGATGGTGGAAGAAGACATGAAGCGGATGGTGGAAGAAGACATGAAGCGGATGGTGGAAGAAGACATGAAGAGGATGGTGGAAGAAGACATGAAGCGGATGGTGGAAGAAGACATGAAGCGGATGGTGGAAGAAGACATGAAGTGGATGGTGGAAGAAGACATGAAGCGGATGGTGGAAGAAGACATGAAGTGGATGGTGGAAGAAGACATGAAGCGGATGGTGGAAGAAGACATGAAGTGGATGGTGGAAGAAGACATGAAGCGGATGGTGGAAGAAGACATGAAGCGGATGGTGGAAGAAGACATGAAGCGGATGGTGGAAGAAGACATGAAGAGGATGGTGGAAAAAGACATGAAGTGGATGGTGGAAGAAGACATGAAGCGGATGGTGGAAGAAGACATGAAGCGGATGGTGGAAGAAGACATGAAGTGGATGGTGGAAGAAGACATGAAGTGGATGGTGGAAGAAGACATGAAGCGGATGGTGGAAGAAGACATGAAGCGGATGGTGGAAGAAGACATGAAGTGGATGGTGGAAGAAGACATGAAGTGGATGGTGGAAGAAGACATGAAGTGGATGGTGGAAGAAGACAGGAAGTGGATGGTGGAAGAAGACTCACCTGCAGAAGTTGCTGGTATGGTTTCTCCTGCTGCAGTATTCCAGCGTGTAGCATTCAGCCTGTCTTACTTTTTCTGAAACCAATACATTCATAGTTTGGACGTCTGGATATGACCTAGTTAAACCGTGTGGATATTAAAACTAGTTGAGAAGGTCAAGGTTACCTGCGCAGAACTTGACGGCCAGATCCAATGAGAGACTCCTCAAGAGAGTCATGGCGTCAAGCGTCATTTGTTCGGGGCACCTGTTGCGTTCGTTGACTCCAGACAGGCAATGCATGTATGACTGAACTTGACTGAAAAGTTGATTGACAGACAGGCAATGCATGTATGACTGAACTTGACTGAAAAGTTGATTGACAGACAGGCAATGCATGTATGACTGAACTTGACTGAAAAGTTGATTGACAGACAGGCAATGCATGTATGACTGAACTTGACTGAAAAGTTGATTGACAGACAGGCAATGCATGTATGACTGAACTTGACTGAAAAGTTGATTGACAGACAGGCAATGCATGTATGACTGAACTTGACTGAAAAGTCACTCAAGGCCATCAAAAGTCATGTTGATTGACAGATGCAAGCCGGACCGACAAACATAAGCAGGCGTAACACATCAAATGATGCATGACAGACCAAAGTATGCATGACAGACCAAGTGGTGCATGACGAAAAGATGACGCATGGAATAGTCATAACTGTACATGACAGACGGACAGACCAAACGAAGCATGACAGACGGACAGACAATGACAGACAGACCATGACAGACGGACAGACCATGACAGACAGACCATGACAGACCATGACAGACGGCCAGACCACGCCAGACGGACAGACCATGACAGACAGACCATGACAGACGAACAGACCATGACAGACGGACAGACCATGACAGACAGACCATGACAGACGGACAGACCATGACAGACGGACAGACCATGACAGACAGACCATGACAGACGAACAGACCATGACAGACGGACAGACCATGACAGACAGACCATGACAGACGGCCAGACCACGCCAGACGGACAGACCATGACAGACCATGACAGACGGACAGACCATGACAGACAGACCATGACAGACAGACCATGACAGACAGACCATGACAGACGGACAGACCATAACAGACAGACCATGACAGACGAACAGACCATGACAGACTGACTTGCAGAAGGTTTCAGGCACGTCCGAGTACGGGTGTCTGCACGATGACGGAGAGCACACGTTGTCCTGGCTGTCTGTCAGTCGGTTCATCAACGTCTCGAGCAGGTTGACATTAGAGGTCAAGGTTGACGGAAGAAAGCCTGTTGGGGGAGGGGAGAGGGGGGGGGGGGGGGGAGGAATTTGTCACTAATTATAATAACGTTCTAATGTTTCATCTCTAGCTATAAGCTGTATCTAGCTGCAGCCAAAGCTAATCAGTGCGGTAGAATATAGATCGATCATTTTTTGTTTTAACTACAGATCTCATCACATAATCACATCACTTCCCCGTCACATCACTACCTCACCACATCACTACCTCACCACATCACTACCTCACCACATCACTAAATCACCACATCATTACCTCACCACATCACTAAATCACCACATCACTACCTCACCACATCACTAAATCACCACATCATTACCTCACCACATCACTAAATCACCACATCACTACCTCACCACATCACTACCTCACCACATCACTAAATCACCACATCATTACCTCACCACATCACTAAATCACCACATCACTACCTCACCACATCACTAAATCACCACAACATTACCTCACCACATCACTACCTCACCACATCACTACCTCACCACATCACTACCTCACCACATCACTAAATCACCACATCATTACCTCACCACATCACTAAATCACCACATCACTACCTCACCACATCACTAAATCACCACAACATTACCTCACAACATCACTACCTCACCACATCACTACCTCACCATATCACTAAATCACCACATCACTACCTCACCACATCACTACCTCACCACATCACTACCTCGTCACATCACTACCTCACCACATCACTACCTCACCACATCACTAAATCACCACATCACTAAATCACCACATCATTACCTCACCACATCACTACCTCACCACATCACTAAATCACCACATCATTACCTCACCACATCACTACCTCACCACATCACTACCTCACCACATCACTAAATCACCACATCATTACCTCACCACATCACTAAATCACCACATCACTACCTCACCACATCACTAAATCACCACATCATTACCTCACCACATCACTACCTCACCACATCACTAAATCACCACATCATTACCTCACCACATCACTAAATCACCACATCATTACCTCGTCACATCACTACCTTACCACATCACTTCGTCAACATATTACTACCTCACCACATCACTACCTAATCACATCACTACCTAACCACATCACTACCTCACCACATCACTACCTCACCACATCACTACCTAACCACATCACTACCTAACCACATCACTACATAACCACTTCACTACCTCACCACATAACTACCTCACCACATAACTACCTCACCACATCACTACATCACTACATCACTACCTCACCACATCACAACCTCACCATTTGGCCAAAACTCACATGCTAATAGAAGAGCGGTAGAGATCAAGCGACACATCATCTGGACGTCAACTGTGATGGCAATGTTTGACGTCAACCTGGAGGTAAAACAAATTACCCGACATCTTGCATTACATTACATCAGATAGGGCACCCACCATACACCCCCACCCACCAATCCCCCCCCCCCCCCCCATGCAAGATACAGATCCACAAGCATAGCACAACCATTTACCGCCCCCCCCCCCCTAAGCCTAAGACCGCTAACTAAATGTAGATCTATAATGAGCCTAACCGCATGGGTAAAGAAAACTTTACTATAATCTGACCGCATAGATTTGGAAAAGTTTACGTTAACCAACTCATCTTTTCACCACTTTCAGAGGCCGCCAGAGAGGTTTGTTGTGGACAAAATAAAAAGTCAGAAATTCATTTCCTTTTAACATTGGTGCGGCTTGGTGTCGCCATTTCTAGCACCTACTGCATCGTTAGGCATCGAGTATTTGACGCGCTAGGTAGTGTTACATTCTGTCATCATTCACACAACTAGGTAGTGTTAAATTCTGTAATTCACACTACTAGGTAGTGTTACATTCTGTCATTCACACTACTAGGTAGTGTTACATTCTGTCATCATTCACACTACCTAGATGATATGGAATTAGGTATCCATCAGAGCTGGATGGACTCAGGGATATGCTACTAACTTGAACCCAGATGCGAACCCGAAACATTCGGCATTAAAATCCATTAAAAAAAAAAAAAACAAAAAAACTTTTCTAACAGCTAGCTTTTAAATGTACCGAAAATAAGAACAAACTAATTTGCTTTCTTTCATGAAATCTTTTGCATATTTTAGCAACCAAAGCTTTTATGACAGAAATCAAACTGGTTTTATTTGCTATTGTTTCAGTGCATTTAAACGCTTGCTACTAGAAAGGTTTTTTTAAATATTTGTTTCATTTTCTACTTTTTAGTGATTACCTGCCACTGATAGCCTTCACTAGATCGGCCGCCTCCGCGATTGTAAACATTCGGGGTGAACCACAGCTCACCAGACTGGTCGGATGATAGCGTCAAGCTAGTTATCTCCCCTTCTGTTATTGAATATAGCATTGTATCGAGTGATTTAATTTGTTTATCTCCCCTTCTGTTATTGAATATAACAATGTATCGAGTGATTTAATTTGTTTATCTCCCTTTCTGTTATTAAATATAACAATGTATCGAGTGATTTAATTTGGTTATCCCCCTTTCTGTTATTGAATATAACAATGTATCGAGTGATTTAATTTGGTTATCTCCCCTTCTGTTATTGAATATAGTAATCTATCGAGTGATTTAAGTTTGTTATCTCCCCTTCTGTTATTAAATATGGCAATGTATCAAGTGATTTAATTTGGTTACCTCCCCTCAGTTTTGAACCCATATAATAAGTTACTAAAGTACCATCGCGACTCTTATTGTAACATTCCAATGTGCGAGAAAATTTATGGGAACTCACTCCTTCTATATTTTACTAAATTTTTACCTAAATTATTTTGTACATTGTATATTATTGAGATGACTTTATACGTCCAGTCTACACACACACACACACACACACACACACACACACACACACACTGACTTTGACCTCACCCACTCAGTCTACACACACACACACACACACACACACCTTGACCTCACCCACTCATTCTACACACACACACACACACACACCTTGACCTCACCCACTCATTCTACACACACACACACACACATCGACCTTGACCTCACCCATTTAGTCTACACACCGACCTTGACCTACCGCACAATACAATTGTAAAGCACTATGAAAAGTTTTTTTTTTATTGTGTGTAAAAATACAATATGAGACAGTAACAGAAAACATTCAATTCAGTTTTTAAATTGTGCAGTATGTAGATATGAAATGTTTGGTTTTAGTGTTGTGTAGTATGTCGATGTGATATGTTTGGTTTTAAAATTTTCAACGAATTATTCTCATGGATTGCGTGCCATGTCGCCAGCAGTATAAAAACCTTCAGGAGCAGCCGCTTCAAGTTTTGCACATGGTTACGTCAGGCTTTCTTGCTAAATGTTTCTTCTTCATCTTCTCTATGACGGCCGCGCTAGTTAAGTTTGGGTTAGAGTTAGAGTGTGGGTAAATGCTAGCACATTTTCTTTAGTTGTCAATAAATATTTGTCTATACATTTTATTTACATCAATGTCTGAATAATTCGCAGGTAGGTTTAGTTAGTAGGTTTTGATAAGTTTTGATAGGTTTTGATAAGTTTTGATCGGTTTTGATAAGTTTTAATAGGTTTTGATAAGTTTTGATAGGTTTTGATAAGTTTTGATAGGTTTTGATAAGTTTTGATAGGTTTTGATAAGTTTTGATAGGTTTTGATATCACAGGTTTGATATGAGGAAAAGCTTTGGCATATTAGTCGTGTCACTCAATGACATGACATGAGCGACACGACATGACACTAGTAGCAGATCATCTCTTCTGGCAACTTCCGTCTGCGGCTGTCGCTGAAAAACCTGGTCTCTAGTGCCTGAACCATTTGGCCGCTTTCTTTTCCCAGTCGGTTGCCATAGTTACCAGAGTTTGTGTTGGGGATGACGTCACTGAACATGTTGGACTTTTCAGGCAGTTCTTCTTTCTCTCGGGCGTTGCCCTGTGGAATAATGACGTCATCAGATCAAATCGAAAGAGCAGAGACGACGGGCAAATATAGGACGTGACGTCATTTAATGTCTACGAGACAAAACACCCTCAGGAAGTTTATAAACTTCCGGTCAGTTTCATGGGTGACGTTCATAGGTAAACATCAACAGATGTACATCAACAGACGTTGATAGGTCATACGGGTCATTAGGTCACACGGGTCATTAGGTCACACGGGTCATTAAGGTCATTGGGCCACTATGTAACAAAGGCCACATGGGCTAAAGGGCCACTATGCCCAATGGACCACATTGAAAACACCCCTATAAGACAATGCTTGTTAAATTTTAATACTTATTGCCCAAAACTACTAATTGGTGTAATTGCTAATTATGTTATTGAATGATTGATGCCATACACGTTCAAACAAGTTTGATTACCTTTGTGTCATAGTCAGCCAAGAAGCCCCAGTTCGCCTCCCTGTTGATAAATGGCAAGTGTTTTATGACATGTGTTTTATGACATGTGTTTTATGACATGTGTTTTATGACATGTGTTTTATGACATGTGTTTTATGACATGTGTTTTATGACATGTGTTTTATGACAGGTGTTTTATGACAGGTGTTTTATCTCTGTCATTTAAAAGAAACCTCTAAACACAAATACTCCTTGGAAACCAGTTTTTTCAGACACCAGCAAAACTCACCAATTTTTCAGACACCAGCAAAACTCACCAATTTTTCAGACACCCCCAAAACTCACCAATTTTTCAGACACCACCAAAATTCACCAATTTTTCAGACACCACCAAAACTCACCAGTTTTTCACACACCACCAAAACTCACCAATTTTTCAGACACCACCAAAACTCACCAATTTTTCAGACAACACCAAAACTCACCAATTTTTCAGACACCACCAAAACTCACCAGTTTTTCACACACCACCAAAACTCACCAGTTTTTCAGACACCTTTGCTCAGCCTTGACACTCTCCTTCCAGATGACCGACTGTGTGATGACGTCACATTTCCCGGCGTCCTTAGCGTTTTTAGCCGGCTCTGGAGGGGGTACGAATGGTTTGGGTATGCACGAGTCATGGTAGGCGCTGAAACCAATCACGTGATGACGTCAGAAATGTGGCAAAGTATTCTGGAATTGGTGTGTGTAAGGGGGGGGGGGGAGGGGCGGGGGGGGGGGGGGCTAGTGTTTCAATTAGATCTAATTTTTGTGTACACATTTTTATCTGGAGGTCTAATTAGCTCTCAGTGCTTTTATGTCGGGGTGGAGGGGTGGGGGGTATTATCAGTTTTTTTTCGGGACTGCGGTGAGTTATGACCAGAATCTTATGTGTGGTTAGTTAAGTTCTTTTAACTGGCTGGGAAGGGGGGGGGTAGGGGGGGGTAAGGGGGAGGGAGGGGGGGTTGCTGTTAGTCGACAACCAGAATTGACCCTCGACAGAGGTAACTGTGTGCGTGTCTGGGTGTGTGTGAGTGTGTGGGTTTAACCACTCAGACATGACTGACGTAACTGTGAATGTGTGAGGGTGTGTGTGGGTGTGTGGGTGTGTGTGGGTGTGTGGGTGTTTGACCACTCACCCTCGGCTGACGTAAGAGAATAAAACACCAGAAGTGTGCCGCTCCATCTGAACAAAACACAAAATTTTTCTCACGTTCAAGTCAATGTTCACGTTTTGACCACGTCCAGTTTAAAAATGTCCAGTTAAACAAAATGTACAGTTAAACAAAATGTCCAGTTAAACAAAATGTCCAGTTAAACAAAATGTCCAGTTAAACAAAATGTCCAGTTAAACAAATGTCAAAATGTCCAGTTAAACAAAATGTCCAGTTAAACAAAATGTCCAGTTAAACAAAATGTCCAGTTAAACAAAATGTCCAGTTAAACAAAATGTCCAGTTAAACGAAAAAATAGGCCCAAAAAGATAAGCGCTTGCTATATTTTAAATGTTTCTGTCAACACCAAACAAAAACTTCTAAATATTAAACATTTGATTTTGTATTTTATAGTATTTTTCTACCTTATATTATTAACATTATTTATTGGAGATGCCGTAGACCGAATATTTTAATGTCATTTGTGGCTGAATAGCTATTAACGACTATATGGTTTAGGGTAATTTCTGCTAATTAACGTGACGTCATTATTTACTCAATTGTACGCAACACGTGTTTCTATAACAACCCTTACCCCCCCCCCCCCCCAGCTTTTGGTGTAGTCACGCTGACCGTGAGCCCTACACACCTGACTATTCGAGCACATTACACATACGCTGTTATTTAAATATCTAGTTATAACGTGGTTATTTTGAGTTTTTTTTATTTGAAAAAAAAATTCATAAAAAACGTTTCAAAAACAAGCTTTTATGTAATAATGCACTAAAATGTAGGAAATAAATTATAGACTACTATTTAAATAACTATAAAGAAAAGCGTGGGTCACTTTAGTATCTATTGGATACCTTTACTAATGTTAAGGAAGATACCCACGCTTTTCTTTATAGCTATTTAAATAGTAGTCTATAATTTATTTTCTACATTTTAGTGCATTATTACATAAAAGCTTGTTTTTGAAACGTTTTTTTTTATGAATTTTTTTTTCAGTACTTTACATGTTTTTATTTACAATAGAGTTACATGACTAAAAACCATTGCGCGCCTACTGAACGTGATGGCGCAGCTATTGAACGTGATGACGCGTGTGGTGTGATTAGATAGACATGCCTATTAATTCGGTCCAAATTTTAATTAATTCATAAAAAAGTAATTAGGCATCCAATTAATTCAAATTTAATTTCAGATTGCATTGTCTTCATGTCTTGACCCACGTTCCAACTGTATCGTATCGGTCAAGTAGAAGTGTCCGAATTTTCACTCCGGCGTTTCGATCTAGACAGACTGACGACAGAGGAAGTGAGTTAAATAAAAGCTTGTAAAAAAAAATATCTAGATCTGATTCGTCTTAGGCTTTGACACAAATGAATGATTTAGTTACACGATCGGAGTCTAGAACTAGTTGTTTTTGGACTTTTGCTTTTTGTTTGAAATAATTATAAATAAACTTGAAATACCGTGATATGTTTTGGATCATTGCCGCGGTGATTGCCCCCAACCCCTCCCCTGCCGATAAAAAAATCTACCGTTTTGTTCTTAGTTCGGGTGGTTCACAGTTAGCCTACATTTCTGATACATTTATTCACCCTCTGTGCTGGGAACATTCAACGGCCGGTTTAATCTATAACCTACATTTTATGTGCGTTTTTTAAATATAAGTATTTAGTTGTTAATAAATTAAACATGTGGACGTCCACAATGAACCCCCCTCCCCCCGGTCACCACGCGTCCACAAAAGTCGATTCTTTTAGACACCCCCCCTCCCTCTCATGTGGATGTCATATATGGATGACCTCTTAATCTTACTTAACGGAGATATGACGTCTGTTTACTTGTATTACCTCCCCTGGTTGCGTGCTGAAGGTTTACATTTGGTGATGTCATGTCACCGTTTACAATCTGTCATATTTCAGTCTGACACTGTCAATGTGACACTGTCAGTGTGACACTGTCAGTGTGACACTGTCAATGTGACACTGTCAATGTGAACACAGCTATTGTATTCATAACGCACGTTAAATTAAGAGCACATGCAAATAACTTACACACACCTGTCCGCTAATTAACGCTGTCTAATTAATTACAATAACACAAGCAAAGACTTTAACTCTGAATAGAAATAGTTTCTCAACAACCTAAGTCTGTATTTCTATGCACTATTAGCTGGGTCCTTTATGAAGTTCACTAACATTAAAGCACACAGTAAAATCTATAACTCGGCAAGTCAGACGGAACGAACAAAATAATTCAACAGCTATTGAACACGGCACTACTCGGCCAGTAAGCAATCGATCGAACGAACCCATGGCCGGGAGATAAGCCCCAACCGTGTTACCCTCACACTATTTACGGACGCCAGGACGCCATCTTGGTTGCTACATAGCAACGCGTCAATACTCCATGTTTGTTTCGTCACGGAGATATAAATAGAACAAGACGACCTTTCCGACATGTTAAGAAAAGGAAACTTAGTTCAAAATTGATTTTTGCTGTTGCGTCTATTCTTACATTAAACGAAGAACTTTTGTGGATATTATCGTGTCAGACCCGTCAGTTTTAAATATACTTTCGTATTCGTAGAGCCTGCACTGTACAGCTAAGATTTTCATACGCGTGTACCTTTCCTCAAATCAGGGTTCATGTCTTACCCGTGTTTGATCCCACCTCCCCACCCCCGAGATCCCACCTCCCCACCCCCGAGATCCCACCTCCCCACCCCCGAGATCCCACCTCCCCACCCCTGAGATCCCACCTCCCCACCCCTGAGATCCCACCTCCCCACCCCTGAGATCCCACCTCCCCACCCCCGAGATCCCACCTCCCCACCCCTGAGATCCCACCTCCCCACCCCTGAGATCCCACCTCCCCACCCCTGAGACCTTACCTCCCCACCCCCCCCCCATCCCACTTTGGGATTCCACCTCCCCACCCCTGATATCCCACCTCCCCACCCCTGAGATCCCACCTCCCCACCCCTGAGATCCCACCTCCCCACCCCTGATATCCCACCTCCCCACCCCTGAGATCCCACCTCCCCACCCCTGAGATCCCACCTCCCCACCCCTGAGATCCCACCTCCCCACCCCTGAGATCCCACCTCCCCTCCCCTGAGATCCCACCTCCCCACCCCTGAGATCCCACCTCCCCACCCCTGAGACCTTACCTCCCCACCCACCCCCCCCATCCCACTTTGGGATTCCACCTCCCCACCCCTGATATCCCACCTCCCCACCCCTGAGATCCCACCTCCCCACCCCTGAGATCCCACCTCCCCTCCCCTGAGATCCCACCTCCCCACCCCTGAGATCTCACCTCCCCACCCCTGAGATCCCACCCCTGAGACCCCACCCCTGAGATCCCACCTCCCCACCCCTGAGATCTCACCTCCCCACCCCTGAGATCCCACCTCCCCACCCCTGAGATCCCACCTCCCCAGTATTCTTATCAACTTCCCAAAGTTTGATGGCGATCGGTTGAAAAATCTAGGAATGCATAAAGACAGACACACATACTTTTGTTTATAAAGCTCTAGTCCTATACTGATTCGTATTAACATTGTGATTGAAAATAAATCTGTTGGTTAATGACGTATTGAACACATTATGTAGAAGAAAACACTTTTAAATGCCAATTACTTCGACGATTGTAAAAATAATGTATACGATTGTTAAGTTTTAATGTGTTTGCTGTGACATTTTGTATCCGACTTTTGACATGAATAGAAGTAGGGAAACCATCTCAATCTTTACGTTTCTCATCGTTTCATTATACGTCAATTTTTTTACACCCTATTTTTATCCGTCAGTTTTTCTTACCATTTCGTTACCCGTCAGTTTTTCTTACCTTTTCTTGGTAGAAAACATATAACTAGCGGAATCTCCCGACATTTTCGCGAATGTTCTAGATCTCTCTCAGCAAATATCTGTTATCTCTTTACACTGGCCGCAGTTGGGAGAATGGCCGCTGGTGGGAGGATGGCCGCTGGTGGGAGGATGGCCGCTGGTGGGAGAATGGCCGCTGGTGTTCACGAAATCTGGAGACAAAGAAATGGTCGACATTTCTGTAACACTTATGTAACATTTATGTAACACTTATGTAACATTTATGTACAACATTCAGAGGACAACATCGAGAGGACAACATCGAGAGGACAACATCGAGAGGACAACATCGAGAGGACAACATCGAGAGGACAACATCTATAGGACAACATCGAGAGGACAACATCGAGAGGACAAAAGGACAACATCGAGAGGACAACATCGAGAGGACAACATCTATAGGACAACATCTATAGGACAACATCTATAGGACAACATCTATAGGACAACATCTATAGGACAATATCGAGAGGACAACATCGAAAGGACAACATCGAGAAGACAACAACGAGAGGACAACATCGAGAGGACAACACCGAGAGGACAACATCGAGAGGACAACATCGAGAGGACAACATCGAGAGGACAACATCGAGAGGACAACATCTATAGGACAACATCGAGAGGACAAAAGGACAACATCGAGAGGACAACATCGAGAGGACAACATCTATAGGACAACATCTATAGGACAACATCTATAGGACAATATCGAGAGGACAACATCGAGAAGACAACAACGAGAGGACAACATCGAGAGGACAAGAGGACAACATCGAGAGGACAAGAGGACAACATCGAGAGGACAAGAGGACAACATCTATAGGACAATATCGAGAGGACAACATCGAGAGGACAACATCGAGAAGACAACAACGAGAGGACAACATCGAGAGGACAACACCGAGAGGACAACATCGAGAGGACAACATCGAGAGGACAACATCGAGAGGACAACATCGAGAGGACAACATCTATAGGACAACATCGAGAGGACAAAAGGACAACATCGAGAGGACAACATCGAGAGGACAACATCTATAGGACAACATCTATAGGACAACATCTATAGGACAATATCGAGAGGACAACATCGAGAAGACAACAACGAGAGGACAACATCGAGAGGACTAGAATCCCCAGGAGACGTGGAAACTAGGTCGGCCAAGGAAAACCTTCAGTAGAAGACGAGTCAAGAGCTGCCGGGCGTACGTGGGGGCAAATAAAGAGAGATGGTCAGAGTCCGTTGGACAGGTGTGGCTGTAGACTTTTGTTAATTTCAAAGAAGATGTAGTTACAGCGGATGATTATTTAAGTTATATAGGCCTACCTATATATATATACATATATATACACACACATACACACACATATATATATATATATATATATATATATATATATATATATATATATATATATATATATATATATATATAAGTGTATTTGTATGAGCACGTTGACGTGTATATTTTATATGTGTGTATAACACATATATATATATATACATACATATATATATATATATATATATATATATATATATGTATATATATATATATATATATATATATATATATATATATATATATATATATATATATATATATATGTATATATATATATATATATAAATATATTTAAATATATATATATATATATATATATATATATATATATATATATATATATATATATATATATATATGTATATAAGTATAACAAATTATAAGAAAGCACATAGAAATGAAACTTACTCCAGTACTTACCAAGTTCCACAATGTTTTCTAATTGAGCCAACGCTAGGTAATGAATGTGTTCTTGTCTTAAGCAAATCAATCAAGCCAATCAATGAATCGATCAAGGAATCAATCAATGAATCGATAACAATCACACGCTACCGTTGGCACCTTGTCGGCTACGAATTCGTTGTATATTTTTGTTATACAAGATTGTTGTATATTTTTGTTATACAAGATATTGTATATTTTTGTTATACAAGATATTTTATATTTTTGTAATACCGAAAAAAAAAGTATGTTTTATGTAACAAAGTTGTGTTGTAAATCTTTGTAATTGTCAACATTTGTTGTAGGTTTCAGATGTCATCAAACAGCTCAGTAAATCCGCTCTCCTCCCCCCACCCTTAAGAGACCTTGGTGCATGGGTACCCTTACCCAAGCCCTAAAGCTGACCCTAGCCCAAACCCTAAAGCTGACCCTAGCCCAAACCCTAAAGCTGACCCTTACCCAAGCCCTAAAGCTGACCCTAGCCCAAACCCTAAAGCTGACCCTAGCCCAAACCCTAAAGCTGACCCTAGCCCAAACCCTAAAGCTGACCCTTACCCAAGCCCTAAAGCTGACCCTAGCCCAAGCCCTAAAGCTGACCCTAGCCCAAACCCTAAAGCTGACCCTAGCCCAAACCCTAAAGCTGACCCTAGGATAACCCATAATTCGCCCAAGACTAACTCTGCCTTCAAACTATTTCTGCATGAGCACCCAGTACGTAAAGCCCATCAAGACATGCAAGCTGCACCCATTCACTTGTAAACAGATTTCAACTTCGGAGTGCTCGTCCCTGGCAGGCCGAACGTATTGATTGTATTAAAACTACACGCGTTATTCAATAATCAATCAATTCAAAGTAATCGATATCGATCTCCCTTTGGGGTTTTAGATGTCTACTATTGTTCGACCATTATTCTAGGGGGGGGGGGAGCTGTCGGATTAACATGTGACTTATCTGTCTGGCTAGATAAGCTTCGCTGACTTGACTGAGTTTGCTAAGAGATAATAGGGATTAGGGCTAGGGTTAGGTTTTAGGGCTAGGGTTAGGTTTTAGGGCTAGGTTATGTTTTAGGATTAGGGGATTAATTTAGTATGTTAGATTTAGCTTCTTGAATGAAATTTCACTTATATAGCAATGTTTCACTTTCAAATACGAGCAAAATTTGAGATAAGAGCAAAGTTTGAGATAAGAGCAAAATTTGAGATAAGAGCAAAATTTGAGATACGAGAAAATGGATTAGCGAGGTTTACAGTTCGTAGAAATTTTTTTTTAACTCGTTATGTATCGGACAGAGCTATTTATAGACAACTGTCTAACTTATTTCCAAAATATTCTAAAGGGGGGAGAAAAAAATCTCCTTTTGACATTTCGTATAAAAACAGCGTACAGAAAAAATGCGGAAAATTATGCGAAAGCAACACAAACATGTAGCGTTTAAATTTAAGTTCAATTTTATTCAGTGAAGATTATTCAACTTCCAATGAGTTTAAGGATAACGTTTAGCTTCCACCCCCTCTACATAGCTTTAAGAGTGTAACGAGTAAGTTAATTACGGTGACCGTATAAATAGTGTAGTGAACTAGTAAACAAAGTAAAGTCATATAATTCCTTTATTTTAGTCATTGACATCAATACTTACTTTTTATAAAATCATGACGGCAGATCTAAATCCTCTCCTAAATCCGTGTACAGCCGTCCTATGTCGTCGGTTGATTGGCGCCTCGTCTCGTGCTGATCCACCGCCTAGGGAACACCCCAATTATTTCCTGGGCCAGTTCAATTCATGTCAGTTCAATTCATGTCAATTCATGTCAGTTCACCAAAGACCAGCCCGTGAACCGCAGGGTCTCAAACTGCATCAAACATGTCTCCTATATGCCAGGCCTGCCCTTAGTGCCAGCACTTAATTCAGCTGAGTTCATGGATTTTTGGCTCTGCTCTTATCCATGATCAACTTGTCTAAAATATCTCAACATTAATATTAAAATGTGTCTATTTGAAGGTTGAGCTAATTGCTTTAAATTGAAAAAGTGTACATAAAGCTTGGGTTTATGGTGTACATAAAGCTTGGGGGGGGGGTCCTTGGGTTTATGGTGTACATAAAGCTTGGGTTTATGGTGTACATAAAGCTTGGGTTTATGGTGTACATAAAGCTTGAGTTTATGGTGTACATAAAGCTTGGGTTTATGGTGTACATAAAGCTTGAGTTTATGGTGTACATAAAGCTTGGGTTTATGGTGTACATAAAGCTTGGGTTTATGGTGTACATGAAGCTTGGGGGGTCCTTGGGTTTATGGTGTACATAAAGCTTGGGTTTATGGTGTACATAAAGCTTGGGGGGGGGTCCTTGGGTTTATGGTGTACATAAAGCTTGGGTTTATGGTGTACATAAAGCTTGGGTTTATGGTGTACATAAAGCTTGGGTTTATGGTGTACATAAAGCTTGGGTTTATGGTGTACATAAAGCTTGGGTTTATGGTGTACATAAAGCTTGGGTTTATGGTGTACATGAAGCTTGGGGGGTCCTTGGGTTTATGGTGTACATAAAGCTTGGGTTTATGGTGTACATAAAGCTTGGGTTTATGGTGTACTGGGTTTATGGTGTACATAAAGCTTGCGTTTATGGTGTACATAAAGCTTGGGTTTATGGTGTACATGAAGCTTGGGGAGTCCTTGGGTTTATGGTGTACATAAAGCTTGGGTTTATGGTGTACATAAAGCTTGGGTTTATGGTGTACATAAAGCTTGGGTTTATGGTGTACATAAAGCTTGGGTTTATGGTGTACATAAAGCTTGGGTTTATGGTGTACATAAAGCTTGGGTTTATGGTGTACATAAAGCTTGGGTTTATGGTGTACATAAAGCTTGGGTTTATGGTGTACTGGGTTTATGGTGTACATAAAGCTTGCGTTTATGGTGTACATAAAGCTTGGGTTTATGGTGTACATGAAGCTTGGGGAGTCCTTGGGTTTATGGTGTACATAAAGCTTGGGTTTATGGTGTACATAAAGCTTGGGTTTATGGTGTACATAAAGCTTGGGTTTATGGTGTACTGGGTTTATGGTGTACATAAAGCTTGCGTTTATGGTGTACATAAAGCTTGGGTTTATGGTGTACATAAAGCTTGCCTTTATGGTGTACATAAAGCTTGGGTTTATGGTGTACATAAAGCTTGGGTTTATGGTGTACATGAATCTTGGGTTTATGGACAAAGAATTGAGAAACGCTGTTCGAACCAACCGTGTACCATTTTGTTCACACATGAGTTAAGCCCCTTTGTTGAATGGTAAATGGTGTGTGTGTGGGGGGGGGGGGGGGGGGCTGCCCCGTTTTTTACGTGTCACCAGAAGGTGGGAGAATGTATTTACCCGTGTCACGTGGTACCCGTACACTCGTGTCACGTGGTACAGACCACCGTCGTTACTCTGAGATTGTATCAATAACCAATCAGATATTGATCTCCGACCTATTCAATCGAAGCCTGTGTATAAGTGTGTGTAGAGGGGGGGGGGGAAGTAAGACAAGAGGCGATTTGTGAGGGCCCGGGGGTGGGGGGATAAGACTAGCAGTGGTTTGTGAGGGGGGGGGGATAAGACTTGCAGTGGTTTGTGAGGGGGGGGGATAAGACTAGCAGTGGTTTGTGAGGGGGGGGGGATAAGACTTGCAGTGGTTTGTGAGGGGGGGGGATAAGACTAGCAGTGGTTTGTGAGGGGGGGATAAGACTAGCAGTGGTTTGTGAGGGGGGGGTAAGACTTGCCGTGGTTTGTGAGGGGAGGGGGGGTAAGACTAGCCGTGGTTTGTGTAAAATTGTGAGCCGGTGTTTTCAATGTTTGTATTGACCTTGTGTCGTGGTTCCTTTAGTGTCGATCTGTCCGGGTGTTAGTTCTATCTCTAGAGTGGTCCACTCGAACAAAGTTTCTTCCGGGCATCTCTTCGCCCCCCCCCCCCTGGAGAAAAAAGTCTGCAAGAAACATGGCACACGAAGTGACACTCTTTACGGGGTGACAGCATTTATGGAGTGACAGCATTTATGTGGTGACACCATTTATGTGGTGACACCATTTACGGGGTGACAGCATTTATGGAGTGACAGCATTTATGTGGTGACACCATTTACGGGGTGACACCTTTTATTGATCAACAAAATCGAAATATCTTAAAGTATTACTGTGGAAACAATGTTTGATCCAGTATAAGAAAAACAGTAGGATAGAAGTATTTCTTTCAAACATTTTTTCCTTGGGCATGGGCACTTTCTGGGGAATGGGGTGGGGTTAATTTTTCCTAAACATTTTACTCTTTATATAGAACACGAACCTACTGTTTTTCCCAATGCGTTTTTCTTTTCATTAACTGTTATTTAAGGTTTAACAAGCCTACCCCTAAAAAAACAATTTCATTATTTGTTTTGTTATAGTCCATACGAAGCAATGTTTTAAATAGGCTTTGCTATAAAATAGTTCGCTTAGATTAAAAATGCTTTTATCCCTAATATTATAATATTAATAATTATACTATAACCTAAGTTAATCATTGAAAATTCAAGCATAATAAATAACGTCACCTAGGCAAAATCTAAAGTATTTATTATAAATTTTGTATTGCTTAATAATTGAATTTAACACTTATCGAAAAAAATGTTCATCAATTTACTATATTTGTTTCGTTCTCAGACCTATAATGTTATTTTTAAAGTCAACATGGCGTATAAAAAATCGTCAACAGAATAAAACATTTTGTCAACAATGGATGGTTTTTCTGTTAACATTGAATTTGATTAGATCTAGTCTAGCTCAGAAAAAAAATATTAATGCAAAGCTCTAATTGTAAATAATCTGGCAAATGGTTTTGTACCTATATAGATCTATATTAATATAGGTTTAGATCTTATATTATTTTTGTAACTGTTGAATTCTGTGCAACTGCAGATCTTTGTCTTCTTCTTACTAAGTTCTTACCTTGACGTAGGTACTAGATCTAGTAGGTAGTACTAGTAGGTAGATCTAGTAATCTAGGACTAGTAGTAGTGAGTAGTATAGTAGATGGTACTAGATAGTATTATTTAATATTTAGGTAAAACTCCATTTTAACATATTTTATTCCCCGCTTCACGTTCACCTCCAGTTGAGCGTATTTTATTATAAACACAACCGAAAACGTTAGGAAAACACTAGATCTACTTTTTTCATGAATGTGATTTTTAATTAGAAAATGTTAAAAAACAAAACAAAAAAGCATTAGAACTGTTCCAATTAAATATCAAGTGATGGTCAGCAGGAGAAAAATCCTTACACGGTTCACCTTGAGTTCACTTGTAATATTTTTAGTTTTGGCCAAACGAATGAACCAAAAAATAATATATAGATCTAAACTTTTAAGCGAGCAAGGTACGCAATCCAAACATCGTCATAGACGGCGCTAATGACGACAATCACGTTGTCAATGAGAGAAACATTGCTGCGAAAAACTAGTCCAAGTTTTAATATTTTAGATTCTTATCCAGATCTAGTATCTAGATCTATTTAAAAATTGTTAATGTTAGGCTAGGCCTATCACATTAAAGTTGATCACTTGTAAGTGAAAAATCATGCAAATTTGTCACAAGCCTGCTTGTGTTTGATTGTCAAGTGAGCAAGCATGTGCAAGTCCCAGTACTTTGTTAACTAGATCTAGTTAAGCTAACTAATTAGATGTGTGAATGTAGGCCATCCTTGGCTAAAATGATTATCATACTTAATTTATCATGCTAACCCATCTAGATCTAAATCTTAATAAATAGGTATATAATAATAAAGCGGGAGTGATCCCCCCTAAACTTTCTCAAATACTCCTATATAACTCTAGGGAGGGAGGTTGCAACTCTGGATTTTGACATGATTATAATCCATTTTTAATTACTTAAACTTTTTAAATAGAATCTTGTAGAAAAAATAATTGCACACCAAATGGACAGCAAATCATGTGTGTATAATAGTGCGGAATATTAGTATTTTATAAATTCATATGCTTTTTTTTTTGAGAAATCGGAAATAGCATAAAGTACTACTTCTGGTAAATGGAAATTACTCAAAATTTGACAGAAGGCAGAAAATTAGACCTTTTACTTACACGTGAAATTTTGTTTATCTGTCTGAAACAGTACTCAACAAAAAACAGAATAAGATCTACTTCCGGTTATCGGAAATTGATGAAAAGATGTTACATAATTAAAATTTGATATAATACTTATACATGAAATTTCATCAACCTAGCTGTAACTGTACTCAAGTTATCGTGTTCACTGACATACATACATACATCCACACAGACACACTGACAGATTTGCAAAACCAAGTTTTTCTGACAAGATTATACCTAAATCACAGTAATTTTGATAAAACTGGATTTAGAATTTTTCCCTATACTCCATATATGTTGAAGTACAGAGGTGTAAAACATTGAAATATGTCAAAATTTCATGTAATTTTTATGCACGATTACGATATTTCCTCTATAGTCTGTATATGAGATATTAAAATAAAGGCAAATAAAAATAATATTAATAACCAAATTTAGATTTTACCAGATCTAGATCTAGACCTAGTAGTAATAAGAAATTTTCAAACCAAGCTGAATTTATAATTTGTACTGAATCTTGGTTTATCTAGATCACAGAGGTTACTGGCTTTTAGTAACAGAAATACCAACGAATCCCTTTCTTCCCATGGTTAGATTGAAAAGCTTAGTTAATTTGCCCAATCAGGCAATATTAAAATTGGAAAATATTCAGTTAATGCTCGTCTACATAAATAAATGACACAAAACATAAAGTGTTGATAGAGCGCCTCCTGGGTAAATGTCTCTCAATAGTGGTCTCGTGGGTTATAGAATTTAACTTTTGGGGTAGTGACCAGTTTGCGGGTTTATTATTTGAATAAATGCATGTATTATTGGATTTCTTTTTCCACAGACTGCTAAATCTAATATTGAATCACTTGAGTTCACAATTCTACATCTTTTCTTCGAATATTTAAAATAAAATCTATATTGGCACCAAGTTAAAGCGTTTCCCAGGCATATTTAGCGCTGCCATCTATAATTAGTTTATCTCATGTGGAAAAACTGCCATTTTTCACAGGGTAAAGGTTTTTAAAACTTATTCCAAGAAAGTCACTTTAACTGATAATAAAAATGTCAGAACACATGCTACCATTTATGATGTCCTACCATTAGGAGGAGGCTGGTGTTGGGCTCCAAAAATTGACTTTTGTGGACTGAGGGGGGGGGGGGGGATTCAGATGTCTGTAGACGTTCACATGTTGTACTAAACATTGAAGTGCTTAAATTTGAAAACAAACAAAATTCTTAACCTGCAATTAAAAAGTAAAATAAATATTAAGACCTAATAGTACTAGTAACAGAATGTGTCATGAAGCTAGATGCTTTCTATTTCACTTTTGTCCAAATGTGGGAATCCTCAATGGGATAAAAGACATAAATCCAAGTCTTGCTGACATCTGCTAAATATAATTATTTTGGTTTCTGAAATTTAGTATGAGACTATAAAGTTTAATTAAAGAATTGGGTGCTTTTTCTGTCTATGCTTAGAACATTTTTTTGACTTTTTGGTTTTAATTAAGAATTACGAGTTTATTAACATCACAATTAAGATTTCCAAGAGTTATGGTCCAGAATGGGTTAAAGCAGCTTATAAATCATGTCATTAATTATGGAAGATCTGTTATGGCCTAGCTGTTTAATTTATCTATTAGTTACATTCAAATACTACATAGTTTTTTGTTATTGCCTTGTTTTCTTTTCTTATTTTTTTATTTTTCTCAGTTCAATGAGGTCATTAATTAAATGTGGTATAACTAATGATTGAATCACTAATTAAAGAAACACTAAAGAAAATAACACGTAAATAGCAAACCAACAATAACTGAATATGTGGTGTAATATTTAAATAAACACTAGAGTATCCGTCCTCCTATGCAAGACGGCCAATCAATGGATACCAAGCGCTAAAAGATAGCTGCTCGGAAACTCTGGGTGCCAAACCGCATACTACTGTTAAATTTATATACAGTATATTGAGAAACATCACATCCTCCCAGGGTGCAGCCCCTAAGAAATTTTTTTTTTCACAGAAATCTTCCCAGGATTATTCTTATCAACTCCCCAAAGTGTTATGGCACTCAGATGAACAGTTTCGAACCACATAAGATTTTTATTTTTATATACAATGTATAGGAGTTTTCTCAATAACTCGCCAAAGTTTCATGCCGCTTGGATGAAAAGTGTAGTAATGTATAAAAGACAAAGCCAAACACACACACATACTTAACTTAGTTACTGTACAGCATTGTTCTTCATACCTCTATTTTTATTTATTATTTGCGTTGAATGTTAGAAATTCAACTTTTTATCTTTTTTTTTTCAGGAACTGTTAAACCAGCCCCCAGCTGTGTAATATTGGCTAGTCCAGCATAATGATGTAACCATGGTCAGCTGTGTAATGTTGGCTAGTTGAGCATAATGATGTAACCATGGTTAGCTGTGGGTAACTGTAGACTGCTGATAGACCTGGTAATGCCTGCCATGATGGACAGTGATCTACTGAGTGATAGTGGCTGCACCAAGCTGTACCAGGGCTTTGACATGAGCACCCTCAATGGCTTGAGCCCAGAGAGGCCACATGTCTTTAAAAGTTTTCACAGCCCAGCAGAGTACGAGGGTGCCACACCTGACCAGCCTGGGAAACACTTGGTGCCAGACAAAGAGAAGAACTTCTACCATTCCATTGGTGATGTGGAGAGAAATGTGGTAGCCTTTGAAAGAGAAGAGACAATGAGGCCATCCTACCTGAAGTTGTATGAGAAGCAGGAAGAGGGATGCCTGTATCAGATGGATGGCTTTCACGCAGCAGACAGCCATGACAAATTAAAAGCTGACGACAGTCTGTCGTCCCTACAGTTGGCCCCACCACCAGCAAGCTCCGCCCCCAGTATCTGTGCTCTAGCTATGCAGGTGGAGAGCCAGCAAGACAAGTCAGCTTGTTCTGCGGAGGTTCCCTCAAGCTGTTTACCAGACATGGCCTCATGTAACCAGCCACCCCCTCACCTCCATCAAGACCAGCCAACTGTGAGTGATGCTCCCACACAGTGCCAGCAAGATGTGCTCAGTCTGGTGACATGCAGCAAGCCTCTAGACTCCACCCCCTCAGTGCCTTGTCAGATATTGACTAAATATGTTTACATCAATACAGCCTGCAAGAAAAAAACAGCTAAGAAAAGCTTTGGTGTTTTATACAAAAATGCTTTCAGGCATTTTCATAAAGGAAACAAATTGAAACGGGCCCAGCAGCTCAAGCACAAGAAACTGGCACCTGGCCAGATCAAACCTAAGCAAGTCACTGGGGAGAGACAGGAAAAGGTTTTTAACCAAGAGAATTGGGAGACAACAGCAAGTAGCCATGCTGGAACACAAAACAAATTGACTGATGGGAAATTTACTCACTTGAAAACCAAAGCAACCAAGCCATCCAACTGTGTGGGGGGAGAAGCTGTGAAAAGAAAAATTTTAAGCCTGGAGGAAAAAGTCCAGATTGTTGAGGCTATGGAGAAGTCAGACAGTACCCTTGTTTCTGTTAGTGAAGAATTTGGTGTTTCTAGGACTGTTCTATGGAGGATTCTGAAAAAAAGGGATGAGATTATGGCCAAGCATGAAGCTGCCAAGTCCAAGAGAAGAAAAAGATGCAAAGAACCACAGGCAGTTGAGGTCAAGCAAGAGAAGACAGACTCTGAAGATGCTGGAACTCCTAATGAAGAAGATGACTGGTTGACATCACACTTACCCTCAACAAAGCGCAAACCTAATTTTAGAAATAGAAAAGATCTGACCCTAGAAGAAAAAGTGAAAGTTATAAAAGCCCTGGAAACGCCTGGCACAAAGATCAATGCCATGGCCAAAAAGTTTGGCGTCTCTGTCTCCTCCATCAGTCGCATCAACAAAAACAAAGAGCTGATCATGCTCAAGTCTACCAGTGGGGACTTGAGCAGCAAGTCCAAGAGGTCACGCGAGTGCAAGGACCCGGAGTTGGACAGAGTCTTGTTGAAGTGGTACCGAGCTATTGAGAAGACACAGGTGGATGAAAAAATCTCCATCTCCAATGTTCTGCTCAAGCAGAAAGCTCATGACCTAGCCATTGTCATGGGTAAAAACTATTTCCCCTCCGACAACTGGATCATCCGCTGGAAGCACAGACACAACCTGGAGTCCAAGACTAACATGATACAAGACAGGGAGGAGCTGAGGAGGCTGGACACTGTTGACATTGCTGACATCCTGGAGGAGGTGGGCAAGCACCAGTACCACCTCCAGCAGGTCAAGCCTGAGGCCCAGCTCAAGCATGGGGACAAACCTGAGCAGTTCTTCATCTGTGAGCACTGCGGCGTGCTGACCAGCAGCAAGAAGAAGAGGGAGAGCCAGCACCAGGCTGGCTGCCCCGCCTCAGCTGTCAGGAAGGATCTGACTCTAGAGGAGAAGGTTCAGGTCGTGCGAGCACTAGAGGAGCCGGGGGTGAAGATGATCCACCTGGCCAAAAGGTACGGGGTCTCAGCCTCAGCCATCAGCAGGATTGCCAAGAACAGGGTTGATATCCTGGCCAGGAAAGCCAGTGGTTTGTCTAATGGCCAGAGGAAGAGAGACAGAGGCAGCAAGGAGCCGGAGGTGGAGAAGGTCCTGTGTGAGTGGTTCAAAGTTCAGCATGAGATGGGCGTCCACATCTCTGGCTCCATGATACGGGAGAAGGCCAGAGACATTGCTCGGCTCATGGGCAAAGACTTCTGGCCATCAGAGAGCTGGGTCTTCAGATGGAGGCAGAGAAACAACGTCTCCGACATGAACGCCATCTTGTACGCAGACTCAGAGGAGGACTCTCATCAAGGGCGACCAGAGACAGAGGAAAGCTCTTATCAGGCCTCTGTTGCTGATGATATCAATGATATTAAAGTTAGCTTTGGGGAAGAAATAGCCGCAGATGTGACAGATGGTGATGAAGCTGGCGATAAAATGAAACAAAGTAAAAAAGCTGTTGTGCCAGGGGAGAGAAAGGTACGGATCCCCCGGTCAGTCATGTGTGAGAAGTGTGGCTTTGTGTCAAGCAGGATCAAGAACAGCCGTGTCAAAAGTCTGCGCCATGCCAAAGGCTGCCCGGACATGAAGCCTAGACACGAGCTGACGTATGAGACACGAGCCCAGATGCTGAAAGCCCTGGAGGAGCCGGGGGCCACTCTCAGCTCAGTGGCTCGCATCTTTGGGGTCTCTGTCTCCTCCATGTCCAGGATTAATGCCAACAAAGAGCGCATCCTGAACCACTGCCTGGACCACAGCAGCCAGAAGAGGATCAGGTTTTGTAAGGAGCCAGAGGTGGCCCACAGGCTCTACACCTGGTACATGGAGAAGAAGGCCGAGGGCGTGCATGTCTCAGGGCCTAAACTCAAGGAAAAAGCCAGGAAGATGGCTGCTGAGATGGGCAGGGAATTCAAGGCTTCCAGTGGCTGGCTGGGGAGGTGGAGGCACAGGTACAACATCGTCAGCTCTGCCAAACATCCTGACAAGATGGACAGGGGGCAGGCCAAGAAGAAACGAGCAAGGAAGAACGTGCCACTGAGGTCAGACGAGCCCATGCTCCATCTCCAGGCCATGCAATCAGATATACAGCAGGACAGTTCAGCCAGTGCCCTGATAGACCAACAGGAGCCAGCCATGCCAACCCTGCCAACCCAGCAACCTGTCTTCATCCACCAAAGATTCTCAGCCCCCTGGGAGTTGGCTCAACAGCAGGCTGGCTCCTGCGTGTGGGCCAAAGAGTTCCTGAGCCCATCAGGTGTGCCAGAAGAAAATGGCCTGCAGATGTCCTACGCCTACAACGATGGGCTGAGCAAGCCTGTGTTCCACAACATGTTTGACTCCTCCTTCTCTTCTGTCGGCTACCCAGTCACCATGGACTCAGGCATGCTGGGACGGGAGTACATGAAAGTTGATAACAATGATGATAAAAGTGGCCTAACTGCTGGCCATATGCCTCAGGGTGGCCCCAGTGGCCATGTGCCACACTCCGTCCACCCCACACATCAACACCACACACACCCTCACCCACAGCTGTCAGGGAACACACACCTCCAGCAGCAAATGGTACCCACACACTCACACCCTCACCACCCTCAGCATACTCTCATCTCTCACCCTCCACCTCCCCCCTCCCCAGCTGCCCTTGATGAAGACCCAGAACAACAGAGGCAGGTGATGGAGGCCTTTAAGATTATGAACTCTTTTGCCCAGAAGCGATCTTTGGGGGAGCAATTTCAAGCAGCTTTGAGGACCATTGAGATGACAGTTAAAAACCAGTCAAGGAAGTCCTCTTCTAGAAACACATACACCTCGATATAAGCCCACACTACAAGAAACACACCTCAATATAAGCCCACACTACAAGAAACACACCTCAATATAAGCCCACGCTACAAGATACACACCTCAATATAAGCCCACACTACAAGAAACACACCTCAATATAAGCCCACACTACAAGAAACACACCTCAATATAAGCCCACACTACAAGAAACACATACACCTCAATATAAGCCCACACTACAAGAAACACACCTCAATATGCCCACACTACAAGAAACACACCTCAATATAAGCCCACACTACAAGAAACACATACACCTCAATATAAGCCCATGCTACAAGAAACAAACCTCAATATAAGCCCACGCTACAAGAAACACCCCTCAATATAAGCCCACACTACAAGAAACACACCACAATATAAGCCCACACTACAAGAAACACACCTCAATATAAGCCCACACTACAAGAAACACACCTCAATATAAGCCCACACTACAAGAAACACACCTCAATATAAGCCCACACTACAAGAAACACATACACCTCAATATAAGCCCACGCTACAAGAAACACATACACCTCAATATAAGCCCATGCTACAAGAAACAAACCTCAATATAAGCCCACGCTACAAGAAACACCCCTCAATATAAGCCCACACTACAAGAAACACATACACCTCAATATAAGCCCATGCTACAAGAAACAAACCTCAATATAAGCCCACGCTACAAGAAACACCCCTCAATATAAGCCCACACTACAAGAAACACACCACAATATAAGCCCACACTACAAGAAACACACCTCAATATAAGCCCACACTACAAGAAACACACCTCAATATAAGCCCACACTACAAGAAACACACCTCAATATAAGCCCACACTACAAGAAACACACCTCAATATGCCCACACTACAAGAAACACACCTCAATATAAGCCCACACTACAAGAAACACATACACCTCAATATAAGCCCATGCTACAAGAAACACACCTCAATATAAGCCCACGCTACAAGAAACACACCTCAATATAAGCCCACACTACAAGAAACACACCACAATATAAGCCCACACTACAAGAAACACACCTCAATATAAGCCCACACTACAAGAAACACCTCAATATAAGCCCACACTACAAGAAACACACCACAATATAAACCCACACTACAAGAAACACACCTCAATATAAGCCCACACTACAAGAAACACACCTCAATATAAGCCCACACTACAAGAAACACACCTCAATATAAGCCCACACTACAAGAAACACACCTCAATATAAGCCCACAATACAAGAAACACACCACGATATAAGCCCACACTACAAGAAACACACCTCAATATAAGCCCATGCTACAAGAAACACACCTCAATATAAGCCCACACTACAAGAACACACCACAATATAAGAACACATACAAGAAACACACCACAATATAAGCCCACATACAAGAACACACCACAATATAAGAACACATACAAGATACACACCTCAATATAAGCCCACACTACAAGAACACAATATTGAATATAAGCTCAAATACAAGAAACACACCACAATATAAGCCCACACTACAAGAAATACACCTCAATATAAGCCCACACTACAAGAACACAATATAAGCCCACACTACAAGAAACACACCTCAATATAAGCCCACACTACAAGAAACACACCTCAATATAAGCCCACACTACAAGAAACACATACACCACAATATAAGCCCACACTACAAGAAACACACCTCAATATAAGCCCACACTACAAGAAACACAACTCAATATAAGCCCACACTACAAGAAACACATACACCACAATATAAGCCCACACTACAAGAAACACACCTCAATATAAGCCCACACTACAAGAAACACAACTCAATATAAGCCCACGCTACAAGAAACACCACAATATAAGCCCACATATAAGAAACACACCTCAATATAACATACAAGTTGACATCTGGGTAATATATTTTTTTGGCTGTGAATGATTTGCACTGACTGAAGAAGAAATGTTCTTGTAGGTTTGCCATGTCAAAACAGATGTAATGAAATCTATGCTAACATCTCCACCACTGTCCTACATAACTGTCAGTGGCCCACATGACATGTACAACTGTCACATGACATGTACAACTGGCACACGATGTCTGCCACATGACATGTACAAATGTCACATGACATCTGTTGCATGACATGTACAACTGTCACATGACATGTACAACTGTCACATGACATGTACAAATGTCACATGACATGTACTACTGTCACATAGCATGACAGAGGTGCCCCACAAAAAGTGCACATAGTATCCAAGATTTGATCAACATTTGTTGATGAGAAATTTTTAAAATGGCGTAAGGCCATATGTGCTGAGGTCCAACATTATCCTAACAACATTATCCTAACAACATTATCCTAAGCTACCTTGGGTCATTTATTCATCAGCTTGCAATATCAAAGCCAATTGAGCATAATATTTGTTTAGTTGTCTACATAGTGTAGACATTTGTTGGTTACTTGACATGTTCTAATGCCATGTTGTAATGACATGTTCTTGTGACATTCTAATGCCATGTTGTTATGATATTACACAAATATGACATATGCACTTAAATGTTTGTTGTCACAACTTGGAGACAGATTTGGTTGCACTTACCTTATACAGAAGACACAATGTAGGCCGACTCACACCTATTGGTTGCACTTACCTTATACAGAAGACACAATGTAGGCCGACTCACACCTATAACCATGTGTACACACACCAATATGTACCCATGTACACACATACATGCAGATGGCACAAGTGCTGATAAACTTACATACATACAAATGCACACATGTAGGCCAAGTGAAATTAAAATGTCTCAACATAGTGCCTATAACTATATACATGTTTATGTTGTTTCATAATGCTATTTAAAGACCTCTGAACTACAACTGTGTTGCTCTCTCTGCATGTAGGATTTGCATATTCCCTTCAATGTTCCCTCCAATACACTGTAAGACCTATGTTCCCTTCAATGTTCCCTCCAATACACTGTAAGACCTATGTTCCCTTCAATGTTCCCTTCAATAAACTGTAACACCTACATGGTCCCTTCAATAAACTGTAACACCTACATGTTCCCTTCAATACACTGTAAGACCTACATGTTCCCTGCAATACACTGTAAGACCTACATGTTCCCCCCAATGTTCCCTTCAATACACTAAGACCTACATGTTCCCTGCAATACACTGTAAGACCTACATGTTTCCTGCAATGTTCCCTTCAATACACTAAGACCTACATGTTCCCTGCAATACACTGTAAGCCCTACATGTTCCCTGCAATACACTGTAAGACCTACATGTTCCCTGCAATACACTGTAAGCCCTACATGTTCCCTGCAATACACTGTAAGACCTACATGTTCCCTGCAATACACTGTAAGACCTACATGTTCCCTGCAATGTTCCCTTTAATGCACTGTAAAGACATGCAAATAATTCAATTTTTAGAAAATGTGGTTTGGGATGTTTGAATACTTTAGCTGTTTTATAAGCATGTATTATTGTCTGTCACTACTGTTACTTGTACATGATGTCGTCAATAGTCAGCAATATATATATATATATAATATATACCGTACATTGATACATAAAGCAATAGCTGGAGATGTATAAACTTGTTGACATTGTGAGTCTCAGCTGTATGATGTGTCTAAGGGAGACTACCATGATAATGTTTATGTATGTTGTCGCTCCTGTCTACATGAATGACTGTGACGTACCCATACATGTGAAATAAATTCTCTAAGGAAATGATTCGGGTTGTGTTCCAATAATTTAGGGCTCGTGTGTGCAGTGGCGGCACCTGACGCAAATTACCAGTCAGAGTCTGTAGAGAACATTCAGTTGTCACATAACTGATGTAGAGAACATTCAGTTGTCACATAACTGATGTAGAGAACATTCAGTTGTCACATAACTGATGTAGAGAACATTCAGTTGTCACATAACTGATGTAGAGAACATTCAGTTGTCACATAACTGATGTAGAGAACATTCAGTTGTCACATATCTAATGTAGAGAACATTCAGTTGTCACATAACTGATGTAGAGAACATTCAGTTGTCACATAACTGATGTGGAGAACATTCAGTTGTCACATAACTACATAACTGATGTAGAGAACATTCAGTTGTCACATAACTGATGTGGAGAACATTCAGTTGTCACATATCTAATGTAGAGAACATTCAGTTGTCACATAACTGATGTAGAGAACATTCAGTTGTCACATAACTGATGTAGAGAACATTCAGTTGTCACATAACTGATGTGGAGAACATTCAGTTGTCACATAACTGATGTAGAGAACATTCAGTTGTCACATAACTGATGTAGAGAACATTCAGTTGTCACATAACTGATGTAGAGAACATTCAGTTGTCACATATCTAATGTAGAGAACATTCAGTTGTCACATAACTGATGTAGAGAACATTCAGTTGTCACATAACTGATGTGGAGAACATTCAGTTGTCACATAACTACATAACTGATGTAGAGAACATTCAGTTGTCACATAACTGATGTGGAGAACATTCAGTTGTCACATATCTAATGTAGAGAACATTCAGTTGTCACATAACTGATGTAGAGAACATTCAGTTGTCACATAACTGATGTAGAGAACATTCAGTTGTCACATATCTAATGTAGAGAACATTCAGTTGTCACATAACTGATGTAGAGAACATTCAGTTGTCACATAACTGATGTGGAGAACATTCAGTTGTCACATAACTACATAACTGATGTAGAGAACATTCAGTTGTCACATAACTGATGTGGAGAACATTCAGTTGTCACATAACTGATGTGGAGAACATTCAGTTGTCACATAACTACATAACTGATGTAGAGAACATTCAGTTGTCACATAACTACATAACTGATGTAGAGAACATTCAGTTGACACATAACTGATGTAGAGAACATTCAGTTGACACATAGCTGATGTAGAGAACATTCAGTTGTCACATAACTGATGTAGAGAACATTCAGTTGTCACATAACTGATG